GTTTACATTTCAAGAAAGATTTCATCAAGACATCCGATCATAGCAGACCAGAAAATCACCGTTCTATCGGGAACTTCATGCAGCTAGCTAATTTATTATTGCTCTGAGTTAAGAATCAATCTGGGTTTTTTTTTTTTTTGGAAACAGAGGCTCATAACGGCAAATATATGCATGTAGCACATTGCACTCCTTGTATTAATTGTTATTTGTATTTTCATGTTTTAGACTACAGTCGGTATTTTATTAATTTAAAAAAAAACCTTCTCTTATTTACCGTTGTATGATTGGAAACATTAACATATTAAAATACTATTAGCTGATTTGCTGAAAGACAGATGTGTGCAAATTATAGTAAGTTATAATCATATGCATTTACCATTTCGGATAAATTCTCCATCACCACTTGGTTAATTTCAACCAACTTTGGTACAGCTTATCCATGGGTCATTAGGAATCAGGTTTGTTCAGAAGAAGGGATACTACCTTTTCTGAGGGGTGATAATTAAGTAGTACCGGAAAGAAGTTGATTTAACAATCATCTCAGAAAAGACTGTGCCTGAAGAAAAAATACTGACCTTAATTAAAGGCCCCTTACATGGGGTAGTTTCAAGTTTATTCAATTCAAACCCTTTGGTGTGGTATGGGGTTACTTTTAGTGGAAAAAGAAATTACATGGGTATACATTGGAAAAATCTGTCATAATCTTTTTCGGAAGATCAACAAAACCTCGGTCAGTCTGATATGTATGGAAGCATCTTCAGGAAGTGAATACATGGACTTGTATTCAAGTTTGTACCTCGATGTTACGGTGAGGCTAGAATAAGACATTATAGCTTAACTTAGGAATAAAATTGATTTAAGAAAAAGTCATGGTCAGTTATGAGTTATTTGAAAGCATCATCAGGTAGTAAAGATTCGAGTTTGGTAAAATATGTCCCCCTGTATTAGGGTAAAGTTGGGCCACCACATTTACTACACTTTTAAACAACACTTCCGCATGAAATATTTTATTTTTAAAAAATGTTTTTTGTTTTTTTTTAATCATAGAACTGCTTTTTCAATAACAATGGAACACAGCAATTTTCACATCTTGTAACTTGTCATTATTATGTTAAAAATACTTTGATTCTTAACACAAATAGACTGAAGTTGATATTTTAAAACAAATTGGTGGATTTCCTCATTACCAACATATATGCAACCTTTAGAGACCAAACCAGGTCTTCAAACAGATTATGTGAGGTCTGATGCATTTTCACTGTGCTCCTTAATTAGCCATCTTATTTTTATATTCCTTTGAAGCAGATTTTATTCAAAAACTTCAACATGAGAAGAGAAAAAAAAACACTTTAATTTGCCATCAAATAAACATTTATAAATTTTTATGTTGCATTATCAACTAGCAATAATCACTTTCATTAATATGTGAAGTGAAAATGAAGCAAACAAGGAGTCTACCACATTTGTTTTATTTATTTTTTTTGTACTTACTAATAGATAATAAAGGATAACTAAAACAGCTAAACTGTATGATTTCAAATTTTCAACGTCTTTGTCCACATAATAGGCGTCGGAACCGGGGGGATATTGGGGCAAATATGGGGGCTTAGCCCCCCCCCCCCCCCCCCTCTCCACTTTTTACAAATATATGCATAATATGAATGCATTGAAATTTGGGGTTTACCTTTTTAGCTCACCTGAGCCGAAGGCTCATGTGAGCTTTTCTGATCACATTTTGTCCGTCGTCCGTCCGTCTGTCCGTGCGTCTGTCTGTCCGTCCGTCTGTCTGTCCGTCTCTGTCCGTCTGTAAACTTTTCACATTTTCGACTTCTTCTCAAGAACCACTGGGCCAATTTTGACCAAACTTGGTACAAAGCATCCTTGGGTGAAGGGAAATTTAAATTGTTAAAATGAAGGGACATATCCCCTCGCAAGGGGAGATAATCAAGAAAAGACAAAAATAGGGTTGGGTCATTAAAAATTCTTCTCCTCAAGAACCACTGGGCCAGAAAAGCTGAAACTTATGTGGAAGCATCCTGGGGTAGTATAGATTCTAAATTGTTCAAATCATGACCCCCGGGGGAAGGGCGGGGCCACATTAGGGAATCAAAGTTTTATATAGAAATATATAGGAAAAATCTTTGAAAATCTTCTTCTCAAGAACCACTGGGCCAGAAAAGCTGAAACTTATATGGAAGCACTCTGGGGTAGTATAGATTCTAAATTGTTCACATCATGACCCCCGGGGGAAGGGCGGGGCTACAATGGGGAATCAAAGTTTTACATAGAAATATATAGGAAAAATCTTTGAAAATCTTCTTCTCAAGAACCACTGGGCCAGAAAAGCTGAAACTTATGTGGAAGCATCCTGGTATAATGTAGATTCTAAATTGTTCAAATAATGACCCCCGGGGGAAGGGCGGGGCCACAATGGGGAATCGAATTTTTATATAGAAATATATAGGAAAAATCTTTGAAAATCTTCTTCTCAAGAACAACTGGGCCAGAAAAAGTGAGGCTTATGTGGAAGCACTCTGGGGTAGTGTAAATTCTAAATTGTAGGAATCATGACCCCCGGGGGAAGGGCGGGGCCATTATAGGGAATCAAAGTTTTACATAGAAATATATAGGAAAAATCTTTGAAAATCTTCTTCTCAGGAACCACTGGGCCAAAAAAGCTGAAACATATGTGCCCATGGAAGGATCATGGGGTAGTGTAGATTTCAAAATGTCTAAATTATGATCAGTGGGGTAGGATGGGGATGCCTTATGTTTAACAAGGGGGAAATCTTGTAAAGAACAGAATGGTCAAAGCTTCTCAGGTGAGCGATGTGGCCCATGGGCCTCTTGTTTGTTGGTTTAGCCCCCCACTTTTAATTAGGCACCCACTATCAATTTGCTTCCGACGCCTATGGGCCAACAAAGCTCACTTAAGTCTTCAACGACTTCATCTAAACTTAAATCAGTACAAGCATTTAATGATTTATCAAATGCTATTCATATCATTAAATGCTTAAAATACATTTAATGATATGAATAGCATTTGATAAATCATTATTATAACATCTGTTCGTACTTTGGTTTGGGTAGATTAATCATTCATAAATGAAATATTTCCTTGTACAGACATTCAGTGATATTGACTAAAACTTCATGATTCAAATGAAATAGCAATATACAATGTTGAAATTATCGACAGGAACCTCTCATTTAAAATCACACTAAAGTTCTATTTTTTTAAAGGGAAAAGGAAGTAAATATTGGCCAATCATTCGGTTTTCTTTTATTTATAATGCGATATATTAATTTAGTGTATGAAGATACTTATATTTAGTTGTTGTTTTTTCTAATTAACATATCATGCCATATGTCTAAGTGAACCCTATATTAACGGGATAGAAGGCTACAACTTCAATTTAAGATGTAAGTGAATGTAATTACTGTTTAATTACTTAAAAAAATTTCATGTATTTTTTTAACAAGTCTGTATTTCTTTTTAATTGACGACTATTTTTCAGCAACCAGGTGGTGACTTCCTTATTTTCAAATAATGGTTGTTGATACAGATGGGGAATTGTGAAGACATTGTCTGCATTTGTATTCAGATTACAAATTAGGAAAAGAAGTTGTGAAGTAAGAAAGGTTTACATTCTTCGTTAAAAAATATTCCCAAATGCAGTTTAGGAAAACTGTTTTGCTGTTTTGGGTTCTTCTTATTATTATTCTTTACTAGTTAATATTTTTTATTTCAGACAGAAGTTTTAATAGTAATTCAACTCTTCATTGCTTTTTTTTTCATTTGATACCAAGCAATTTCTCAACAACAACAATTAATTTTGAAATCGTGAAATTCATCAAAAATATTATTGATTTGAGAGTTCTGAATGAAAGTGAAATCCAACTGAAATATGGCTAGTTTTAGGTTTATTCAAAAGAAACTTTTTCCAGATCCAGAACAAATTTTAGACATTTTTTTTTTGGACAAAAGCTTATTCTATTTCATTTTTTATTACGTTTGATGTTCAACTCTTAAAGATGCATAAAGACGGATTTGATGTTTATATTTTCTAAATTTCCTGAATAATATTACAATTTATATACAAGTATTGTAGTAGCATTTAGCAAGAAAATAAAATAAAATTTTTATTCTCATTTTAAAGATATTAAAACTTCGAATTTCTGGTCGGGTTTGATTGAAACGTTCTTGCACATTCACAAATTATATTTTTTAAATACGTTAGAAATTGGCAATTTTGTGAGTATTGATATATTAAAATATGTTACACCTTACTCTGAAAATTGAGATGACATATAATCCCTAAGAAATAAATGAGTCGTGTTGATTTTGTTTTCTTTTTAGATATAAGAATACATAAAATTGATGAGCAAAGATGTTCCTGTTTCCGAATCGGTCCTCCTTCCTGTCATAATTTTCCTGATTTATCAGTTTAATATATATTTTTAAAATTCGTATTTAAGCCAATTCAATTACCTTTTGAAAGCTTTTGGAAACATTGATTTTTAAGAGCACAAAAAGGATCAAAAGTATCTCCTTCTTTGCAATTTCTAGTTAATTGTTGATGATCTTCTAATTTATTAGGTTGTTCATAAAATGATTATGATTGACCCCCCAAAAAAATCCAGTCAGTATTTTTAAGCGCCATATGTCATTTCAATATCATGGTATCACTTTGCATGATAAATATTAAATTATAAATTATACTGCTCGATCCATATGCAATAATTTTGAAGGTTGTCAAATCGAAAACATTATTAATTTTTCCCATATCTTTTAAAAATAAAATTATTACATGGATATAAATTGTGAAACCATATGCAGAAAATTGATGTATCTTGTCTGTATCAATAGAAAATAATTATTGATTTAGCTTTTTAAAAAAATTAAAGTAAACATTAACATTTAGTTAAATAACCAAATAGGTTATATTTATGTATTTTCTTTTTCTGTTTGTTAAGCATTTTCTTCAAACTTTTCTTTTTCTTTTAGATTCAAGGAAAAACGATTAACATTAAATTTACAGTGATACTTCGTAAACTAAACAGTGATATGAAACAATACATGTAAACGCTGAAACAGACTGGTCCTTATTAAAAGTCATTTTGAAATCAATATGTCTACCGTAAATGAACCAGGCCAGGGTGATATTTTAATGCAGGATTTACAAACCAGGGATCCGTCGAAATTGACAGAAGAAATTTCACATACATTGGAAGATGACGGAAGATGTTGTTATAAGTTAAAGAATGGATTGTTAGACAGAAGTAAATGTGTATTTACAGTTACATACATCATCTTCTCTTTTACACTAGTGAGTCATGACTTTATATATTTCATTTTATATATATATACAAAGCATTTTGTAGAAAATTTAAGTCTTTACGTGTTGAAGTAATCTTTATGAATTGATTGAAATAAAAAAAAAAGTACAAATCACAGCAAAATTACTTTAAATAAAAGTTGCATATGCAGGTATGTCACAATCGCCTGCAATTGAATATACAATTGTTTGAAATCAAATGAGTTTTCACTCATTTTTAATTTAGAAATGCAAATTGTACAAGGAGATATTCAAGTTTGAGCCATATTTTTTGTGTACAAATGCTGAAATAACGTATATTTATCCAAGTTTCTTACCTTTGGAAAAACAAAATTCAGGGATTGGCGAATGGAGTAGCTGCACATTCGTTTGCAGATCTTATACATATCGCCGACACAACGGTTAGGAAGGGCTTGCTATTCTATACGATGGATATCGTTGGTTACCTGCTTGGGACATTGCTGATGGGATATCTGTTTGATAAGCCGTTGTTAGATAGAAATCTTCTAATGTTTCTCGCCATCGTTGGATATTGTGTGATCGTTGCTATTATACCATGGTGTGGAATGTATGAGATTATGTTCACCCTATTCACTGTTAAAGGAGCTTTCCGTGGTGGCTTATTAACGTGTAAATATGTATAGAATTTTTTTATGAAGTAGTATGCCAAATTTCATTTTTTACATATACTTCTTCGTTAATTATTTATCAGTCTTCTTAATAGTTCATATGGATACAAATAATCTAAGAATAATTTTGTTAGTCATCTAAATCCAATTTAGTCATTTCCCCCTATCATTCGCACTGTAATACATTGTAATTCTTTGCATCTCTTTTATTTTACTTTGTTTACATGTACAAATTCTTTTAATGCAGTCTATGCAATGAATTCACATATTTTTTTCATTATTGTGACTAAATTTGCGGAGAAATATGATTCTAAAAATTTTTTTTAACAAATACAATTTTGGAACATAATTTTAAAAAAAAACTATTGAACAATGGGAAGTTTAAGTCAAAAAAGATATTTCAATAAAACATTATTGTTTGGAAATCATTTGCACATAGCTACCAGGGGGAGAGGTTATCATTTTACATATTATCTAACTTTATCTACATTTATTCTATATTTATTTTGAAGTCTCTGTCTTTTATTCCTAATAGGTGGCACCGCTGGATTGGTAACTACTTGGGGTACTGATGGTAATTCCTACCTCTTTGCTTCAGATTTTACAGTTGCTTTAGGTAGTTCTGTGTCTTCCTCGGTAGTATCACCTTTTGCCTTGTCACATGACGTACAAATTCCTATTCGAAATTATACGGATACTGTCAATTGTATTGACAATATCTACGCTACCATTGAAAATAACGGGAGTTGTAACAATGTACACAAGCGTTCTCCAACTGGAACGCATTCTGGTGATCGTTCGTCAATGATTTATATTCCGTTCACAATAACTACAGGACTTTGTTTTATGACATCACTTCCGTTCATTGTTTTATGTTGCATCTCTTTGTCAAACAAAACTATCAGGGAATTTCGGAAGGAAAATGAAGGAAACAATAGGAAACAAGATCGACGTCTACAAATTTGGGGACTTATAAATATAATTATTTATATAGCAGTATATGGAGTTCTGTTTACATCATACCAATTTTTTTTACCAATATTTATCGCGGTACATATGAACAGGCGGATGTTTTCAAGCCTTTTCACCTCCGGATTCAGATTGTCTTTCAGTTTCGGAAATTTTTTTGGAATATTTCTCGTAAAATGCGTTAGTCCGGCAAAAATGCTCCTCATATTTAATTCCGTGCTTTTGACTGCTTTACTTGGCTTTATTCTGACGTCACTTTTTGATGTCATATATGGTGCTTTAGTATTTACTATGATTGTAACTTTTTCCTTATCAGTGACTTTCCCAGTCCTTATTATGTGGATAAATCAGAATTTTTTCCGGGTCAATGGAAAAGTAATCTCCGTGTTTTTGTTTACAGAAATGGTATCTGTCTTCGCGACTTCATTCATCGCTTTCGATTCTCATTGGTTTATTTATCTGTTGTGTGGTAAAGCAGTGTTCTTATTTCTCCTTTATCTCACAGGTGTGTACATATCAAGAAAGACTGCGTCAAGACAGTCTATCATACAAGATGAAGATCTTACCTCACCAGTATGGGGTTAATGTGGCTTTCTGTATGTTTTTTTTCTTGTGAATTCGAAAATTAACATTCTGAACGGTAAAAAAAACGTAACCGAGAACAACTGAATTCCTAAATAATATGCCATATGTATATATTGTAGTTGCATGTAAATAAGTTGACTCTTCGTTAAATATTCGTCAAAAAATGCTGTTTTAAAAATCTGCATTTTACAGACCTACGACTTCCCGATAGAACTGTCATGTTGTAAATTTTGAATTAACCGGGTGTCAGTAAATACAAAATTTACAACATGACAACGTTGTTGTGGCATATCGTAGTACTGCCATAGGTAATTACAGTGCCTGCGATCTTTAAGCTTAAAACTACGACAGCCCAGAAGGCTCATTCGAGATTCAAGTTTCGAAATACGAGATTCAAAATTCGCGAGATTCGAAATTCGAGTTTCGAGATTCAAGATCCAGATTAACCAATCAAAAGGCTCATTGGAGATTCGAGGTTCGAAATACGAGATTCAAAATTCGAGTTTCGAGATTCAAAATCCACATTAACCAATCAAATGCGGGTTCAACATTGATTACTCCCCTTTATTATGTTTTATCTATCAATAAATCGTTTAATATATTTATAACAAATGAGTCATTTGATTAAATTACAATGCAAGAAAGAGTGTTATATATATTAGAAGGAAAGTTAAATAATCATTGGATTTTTGATCAGCAAGTTACACTTCAATTTATATTATGACTTCTTAAATATTAAATAGAATACATATATCAGGAATATATATATTTTTGTATTGTCTACTTTATATAAAGGGTTGTTGACATACATGTACGTAATAATAAAGTTATAAATAGTGACTAAAGATTAACAAAATCCCCACCCCTACCCTCCACACCTGCCAATTTTTCCCGACCCTGAGAAAGTGATTTAAAAACTTGAAAGAGTAATCAAATGTTGAATCCGCATTTGATTTGGTTAATGTGTATTTTGAATCTGAGAGACTAGAATTTTCAAAAACAAAATTAACCTCGAATCTTTTAATGAGCCTTTTGATTGGTAAATCTGGATGTGGCATATCGAATACTGAAACTCGAATTTCGACATGCCTTCGAATTTTGAATCTCCTATTTCGAAACTTGAATCTCGAATGAGCCTTCTGGGCTTTCGTATAAAACTATAGCTATAGGAACACTTCATTATGTGAGAAAAAATTAAAGCTCAGCATATTATATGAGAAAATCAAGACATAAAAGTGAAACTTCAGTTAGACGTCACTTTTGTCGTCTTAATGGTTAAAAGACATTGGAATTGTCAGACTGCTTAAGTGAAATTCTAGAATGAACAGAGAGAGAGAGAAAGAGAGAGAGAGAGAGAGAATAAAAAGAGCATAGAGAGATACCACATGGGTTGTCTTTATGCCAAGATTAACGACAGTACATTTTCAGAAAATTCTCTCTTTGAATATGTCATCTGAATATTACAGTGGACAGTACATGCTTGGTATCTTTCAGAATTCGGTATAGCCGCTAAAACACTTCTATTCGAATCCAATACCTACCTTTGTCAGTTCAATTGAAAGTTAAGTATGCCTTTAAGTCAAAATTAACAACTGTAAGGATTAATTAATTTTAAGCAATAAAATTTTTGAAATGATTCTTAATATCATGTTCCATGTTCACATAAATCATTTGTTCAAACTCTTAACTATGTATTAATTTTTTTGTGACATTCGTTTGCTTAGTCTTTTTTTTAATACGATATTCATTAAATTAAAAAAAATATATGGTTTTATGTTATACTTTTATCTTTGAACACAGTGTTCTGTTGTTTTTACTGAATTCAGTTGACATGCGTTACGTAAATTAAGATTGATGCACATTTTTATATAATTTTAATTGTATAATATGATAATTATTACATGATAATGGTTAACAATGCTTAACAATGGTTTACAAGGGATATATTTTCAATTATACCCTACTTGTAGATTTCATACAATATTCATATGAAATTCGATTCATTTTATTGAAATATTTAGTTCAGTTAACTTTATTAACCATCATCATGTCAGCATACGATAACGAACTTTAATAACATAGACTATTTGACTATTTGGACATGTGAACGACTCACATACAAACAGATTGTTGTAACGCACATGTATGTTGATCATATTTTTTTTGTTTAATTCTCAATTTTTCTCTTAATACCTGTTGTCAGCAAAAAATATTTTATGAATAAAATCTATCAAAACAAATAAAATATATTTTTCACTTATAACCTGTACGTAAAAATATGCCAATTAAAAATTACAGATGCGGTAAACATGCGTTTACAAGATTGCAATGCCTGCATGAGAAAAACCTTCGCAAAGACATAAAAAGTGTTTAATTTCTTCGTTGAAAATAAATAGTGGCGATGCTAGGGAAGATGCCAGTAAAACATATTGAATAACTTATTAAATTTGAATACCAGAGTTCAAACAAAGGTTTCTGCAATACTCTTCATAAATGGTAAAAAATAAAATGGCACTTGGAATCCTTTAGGACTTTATGCATATTTGGTCCACATTATAATTTAAGTGACAGACACTAAACGGGAATTCTGTATAAATGTTTTCCCCAAACAAATTTGCCCCAGTGATATTACCGTGTTTGTCCTCAAAAGATCCCAAAGTAGTATTATTTAGCAATAAGTTTACTAAATTACCGTGCGTCAAAATTATCAAACGTCGTCATTTTTTAGTTTTAACATGTCATACGTTTTCCTAAAACGATTTTTAAACAATATTTTGAATAATACATGGTCGTTCTTTTGTCATCTTTATTATGAATGTTTCGTTCTCTTTTTTAAATAAATGAAAATTTTCTCAATAGAAATTTTGATATTATTAATAATTGATTTCTTAACAATTATATAATTTTGTAAAACATGTTTAATATGATATTGCATGCAAAATGAATTTTTACATCAGTTGATGTATTTTTTTTTTTAGTATTACGTTAATTATTTCAAGTTGCTATTTTCTCAGTCACAAAATTGTTTACAATTTATGAATTAAAAGAATCGTTTTAATTCTCTGGTATGTACATAAATTTGAAAATTAACAAGAATAATATGCAGATGTGATATTTACTTTTTGTTTCATTAAGGAATGACTTTAATTCTTGGCCATATTATCGAGTATAATCTGGTTTGGGTCAGTTTACGCTTTATAATCCGCGAAGCGGATTATAAAAAAGCGTAAACTGACAAAGACCAGATTATACTCGATAATATGGCCAAGAATTAAAGTCATTCCTTATAATTTAATATTAAAATAATTAAACAACTTTTGATGTAAAATTGTGTTGCTTTTTATAAGTTCAAATTTACCGCGCAATAATACAACCGTAGTAACGGAAGTGATTTGAAGCGAGGGGAGGTAATGACTGATTCATAGATCTAGCAGCCATGATGTTTGTTTACATGAGGTAAGAACGAGTAATTGATTAAAGTTGAAGGTACATTTATTAAATCTGGAATTTTCCATGGATTCCGAGGACTGGAAATGAGGGGATTGCATGGATATGATGATTAAGCTGGTCGTCAAGGGGGTGTGTCCCCATACCAAACCAGATTATACAAAATGTTATGCGTTCCTTTTTGGTAATCAACCAATGAGAGGCGAGAATACAAATAAAATTAAATTATTTTATTTTATTTTGAAACAAAATTAATAACAAACTTTTCTCTCTTTCTAATCGTTCTCATATCTCCCTTATAAACTTTAAGGAAGTCTAATTTGTAGACACACTCATAAACCCTCTTATATAATATAAGCATATTTAATTAACCCTTGAACAATCAACATACAGTGCACATTTAAATTCTCTTCATTCACATAACATTGTACCTTTAATTTATCTCCTCTCTCACTCTCTCTCTCTCTCTTGCAGAGTTTTAGCATATATTACATAAAACCTAGCAAAAACAAGACAAACATAAATGTTTTATTTCAAAACACTGTACTCCTCTCTCTCTCTTTCTCTCTCTCCATTTTAAACTGCAAGAAAACTTGACACGCCACACTTGGTTTACTTTATCTCTACAGTCTCTCGTTCTTCCGTCCTACCAGGGCCCGCGGCACTGTATACTATAACTGCTGTCTCTGACTCATCAACCTCGTTTTCATGAGCAAAAGGTTGTAGTAAGAACTGCCTCTTTGGCAACTCAAACGCAAGTCTTTCCCAAACACACCGAGAGCGAGCTGTGATGTAATTTCCAGTAGATAAAGTTTTCCGCAGTTCAGGTTCTAAAATTGAATGGTCTATGTCACCTACAATTACAATAATTAGCTTGAATCTATGGTTTTCGCGCGCATATTTTTGCGCAGACCGGAAACAGTTCATGTAATACTGATTGTTACAGATATATTTTGTGACTACAAATAAAGCACATTTGCTGTCCCGTAACTTAGTGTTTTCGGTTTCTAAAAGACTCTTTGCAAGGTCTTTTGAGTCGGAAGTTGTTATTTTATATCCGCTGTTATTCAACTTTGGTAACAGTTCCTTGTTTGACCAATCACATCCTTTCGGGTCATTGAAATCAAACATCAGAAAAACATCATAAACCTTAACTTGGTCGTACTCATGACGTAAGCAGTTTATGTTTAACTTCGTTCCAATGACAGCTATTATGTCACGTCGAAAATAAAAGCAAGAGACAAAACCTAAAAATACCAAGGACACGAGTATTACTGACGTCACAATTATTCCTTTGTGGAGAGATGTTTGCTTTTCGGCCGCACAAGTAAAGCGTTGGAGTCTTACATGCGACATTTCCTGATTATTTTCACACTTGATTGACTCACGGTCAAAAATCCTGCTCCTGTGTTCATCCATCCAATATCGCAGTGCTTGGTTCCTGCAATTACACACCAATGCATTGTTTCCGATATAAATTCTTCTGAGATGCCTCTTCTCTAAAATGGCTTCAAGCACCTCCGAATCAAGGAATTTTATTTGATTGTAACTTATGTCGAGTAACTTGAGTTGTTTTGAAATAGGTAATGTTTTTGACCCAAATCTTTTCAATGAATTGTTTCTTAGGTGCATTTCTTCCAGATTTTTAAGTTCAGAAAAAACATCGTTCTCTAACTTCTTTATATAATTGTTCGACAAAACCAATTTCTTAAGATTCTGAAATGGCCTGAAAAAGTCCCTTGTTAAGAGCTCGACGTGGCTATTATTTATATATAGCTCTTCTGTGAGAAAGTGATCATCAACCCCGGTTGTGAAGTTCAGATTGTACAGGGAGTTTCCGTCAAGGAATAGTTGTAATGAAGTCCGAGGTATTCCTGCAGGGACGGAAGTGACATTAGAACACTTGACTAGAGTCGTGTTGTTGGTTTCTGAAATACCGAGGCAGACACATTTCGTGGGACATTCATCTTGCGTTTTACATAAGAAATCAATCTTTTCTACATCCCTGACCTTCATTGTGTAATTGTAAGGATAAACGGTACAAAAATCAACTTTATAACTATTGGTTGAAATAAACTGGTCTCCTACTTTGATCCCCCGTTCTGTGATCCATCTCATAGCGCATGAGCATTCCAAAGGGTTCCTTGTGAGGTTGTAAACCGTGTTTGGATTGGACGTTTTGAAGGGTTTTATCACGGTTAGTTCATTTCCGCTTAGATCCACCAAGTTCAGGTTTGGAAACCCATCAAAAGCCTCTACCGACACATGTGAAATGTTACAGAAGGAGAGATAGATATTTTCCAGGCTAATCTCAGTAAATGCATTCATATCTAGGAGTTCAGGAATCAGGTTATGGACACGAGTTATCGGATTTTTATACAGATATAAATTCTGAAGTTTGGACAGAGATTCAAATGTTGAAAACATCCCATTAATATTTTGTATCCTATTGTTTGATAGGTCTAACGTACTTATCGAATCAGCACCGTTAAAATAATCACGTGATAAATTGAGAGCGAGGCAATTCCTTGAGAAATTTAATTGTTTCAGGTTTGAAAATGTTTTAAAGGAATTTTCAATTAATGTTTTTATAAGATTGTTGGACAGAGATAGAGAGGTAATGGACGAGAAGTTTGAATTTGGTGATACTGAAAATGACGTCATTTCATTATTATCCAATATCACTTCTTTTATATTTGTATTTGAAATAGAGGGTGGAAAATGTTCTAATCTGTTGTTAGCAGCATTCAGGGTGCCCAGAAAGGAGGGGAATCTCACTTGATCCAAAGATATTATTCTATTTTGAGTGAGATAAAGTGTTTTGAGATTTTTTAATACTGAGAAAACACTGTCTTCAAAACCGGATAATCTATTATTTCTCAGGTCTAAAATCGTTAGACTTTTTAAACCGTCAAAAGCGTTGCTTTCTAACACTTCCAAGTCGTTCCGGGACAAATTTAAAACATTCAAAGATTTTAATCCTTCGAAGAAACCTGATTGTATTTTTCTGAAAGAATTTACACTGACGTCTAACTCCTCTAATATCTGAAGCTGCGGAAACAGTGGAAAAGATGAAATGTTCAGTAAGTTATCCGAGAGATCCAGTTTCTTCAAAGACGAAAGTCCGTCAAATGCCTTTCTGGAAACGTGTTTGATGGAGTTCATTGATAAGTCAAGCGTTGTTAGATTCCGTGCTTCGTAGAGGAAACCTTCTGTCGGCAATTCCGTGATGAAGTTCTTTGATATCCTGAGAGATCTTAAAGGAGACGGACTTATTATTCTTCCAACCAAATTCCTGATGTCATTGTGCGATAAATCCAGAAACAATAAATTTTTGCACGAATGTATGGCTTGAAAATCAAATAATGGCAATCTGTTTTCGCTCATGTGTAAGTACTGAAGTTCCGGTGCATGTGCACAGAGCGTCACCGGTACGGAAGTTAAGTCATTCTCGGTAAAGTCGACAGAGACTAGTTTTGTCAGACCTACAAAAGCGTCCCTCTGAATCAGAGTATTATTTATATTGTTTGAAGTCAAATTTAGCGACAGAATATTCGGGATATTTTTGAAAGCATTATGTGGAATAGAGTGCATCAAGCTATCACTAAAATCTATGTAAGATAAATTCATAAGCTTCTCGTTGCAATCAAATATATGAAGCGGAAACCCGTGAAATCGAGTGCCCTGCATCACTAAAATCTCAAGCCCCGGCGCATCACACAGGAATCCTGCCGCCAAAGTCTGTGTTTCCATAGGATTCCGACTCAGATCTAAATATTTCAATGACGTCACAGATTTTAAGGCATCTCCTTCAATATGGGAAATCATATTGTCAGAGAGATCTAAAACCTGTAGATTTCGAAGAGAGGCGAACATTTTATCCGTGAGTTGCCGAAGCTGACAATAATAGAACTCGTCAAATTGCCGGAAATGTTGAGCACTTGCGGCTTTGGTTCCTTTTTTACACATGCAAACATGTCGTGGAGATGTGAAGAATTCCTGCAAAATTGTAAATATATATGAATTTATTATTAGTTGATTTATTATGCGGTTAGTTTGTTTCGCAGTTAAGTATATTACTTATTTCAATTTTATTTTGTTAACGTAGTTTTTGTAACAGGAAATATAGTAAATTCAAGATAGATGTCCCATATAATTATTTTTTTTCTTTGCGAGCAAAATTAAATGTCAAAATACCTCTCATTTACTAGTTTAGAAATTGATTATTTTCTACATTTATTGAAGTTTTAACATTTTTTAATATCTTTGGCATCTACAATTTAGAATAAATAAATTAACATCATTTCTGCACCTGTCTCAGACAGTTGACGGCGATATAAGTTATATTCTGAGGTTGATACCGCCATTGGTCCTCAATATCCTGGAACTTGTGATTGCGCATGCATCGAACCACATCCTCCCTCATAGAAAGTATGCACTCTCCAGAGATGCTCCGATTGAAGTCGTATGTTCGGAACTTCCCTGGATACCATTCAACAGATACTGTGAATGTTCCACAAATGACCGTGGAAATCCTCAAAAAAATGGCAGCCAGTAATATATAACGGGTCTCCTGCATTTTTTATGTTAATCACAGCCGAAAACTATATAAATGCAAGAGAAATTGTCAAAATACATCTTTGACATACAAGTGCATGATTAGAAATTATATTGCTAGTTTATTTGGGACAAGTCATTAATTGTGAAGAAGTGATGCTTGAAGGGCAAAAAAAATTTATTTTTTTTTTGTCAAATGAGAACTCAAGGACTTTGGTTATATACCGTTAGTAGAAGAATGGGCCATTTTATCCTATTAACGACGAACATATCCCCACTGCATGATTTGGGTAGTGAAAAAAAAACTTGTATACGTGTATTTTGCAAGCATTTAAATCTAACTTATAAGTGATTAATATCCAACAGAAGCGCGGATCAAAGTGAGATATTTCTATGAAAACAATGTATGTACCCCATAAGAAATTTCAATTTATTACGTAAATTCCTTACATATAAATGAAGTTTTGTTTTGTCGTTTCTTAATTCATTGTACATAAATCAGTGCTATACTTTCATCTTTATTTTATTTATTCAAAATTATCAAAACTGGAATGCTTTTCTTTAATTTTATGATAATCAAAAAAAACAAGGTGACGATTTAATATCTAAAAACTTAAAGGTGAGAGAGAATGTGAAAATTAAGAACTACATGTATAAATTAATTAAGCTTTGTTTATATGCCGAAGGTGAAAAAGTAAAAAAGTTATGCTATAACATTTTTAGAATGATTTACATCTTCCTTAAGATTCCGCCAATGTAAGATTTTTTCAAACAAATTGCATATAGCAACAGTGCTGTGTTCTAAATTTGCATTTTAATTATAAATTCAAATTAACATTTGTTAAAAACATGAAATTTTAATTAATGGTATAAAATATATATTAATAATAAAAAACCCAATAAATTTGACTTTAAATTCGTAAAATAACTCCTGTAAGATACATTTGCATTATACCATCTTCGATATACTAATATACATTAACATGTATATATAAAGACTGATTTATGCCGAGTAAGTATATGATAGGTGCATAAACATACAATGTACACGTATAACGGTTAATTTTTCTCTGGTCAAAATTAGTGCAATATTGTAATTGTAATTTATTTATTGCTCAGGATAAACATTTCACAATTTTACAGAATATTTATATAGTACCTGTTGATAATGAAAAAAGTCATATAGGCATTCTTTTACAGATTTACAAATGTAATAAATACAGTATGCATAAAATTTATGAACATGGAAAACATATTTCAACAAAATATATATTTTCCATATGATATACAACACAATGGCAATGTAAAATTGTCATGTTGACAATGAATATTCATAACGGCATTAAGAGGGCAATATTCTTATCATAATTATGAAAGACTGCACCATATAATATACAGAGAGAGAGAGAGAGAGAGAGAGAGAGAGAGAGAGAGAGAGAATATTTTACCTGTTTCTCTCCTTTGTCTCCTAAACAAAATGCTCAAGGTGATAAGGTATAAAACTTCTATTAGATGACCATGGTGTATAAAAAAACCACAAAACCTGACCCACTTAAAGTCTTTTTGTACAGATATATCAAGAAGTATAAATTCACAAAATGTCCATATGTTTTAAAAGTATTCTGTTACCCCCTAACCTGGGTATCAGAACATAGGTATTATATGTAGGTAATACATACTTACCTCGCAGGCCGTGTTCCGTCCTGTCAAGTTACATGATTGAAGACTCGACCCCCGGGGCCAGGGAAGCGGCGTCACAGGCCGTCTATTTATAGCCTAATGAATAACTATTAACTGCTCTTTTACCTGTTTACCTGTACCTGTGCACGTATTTACATTATTTATTTATTTATTTGTCTTTACAGTATTTAACCGATGGTGCAAATTGCACGTGAAATGTGAAACCTTTTATAGGTACATGTAATTAAAATTACGGCTCAATTTTCTTGAAATCAGGATACATGTATAACATATACATGTATGTATAACTTGAACCTGACCTTTGTAAAGTACATGTCCAAGGTAGGTTTTTACAAAGGTCATTTTGTAGGACTACACACTTTTCCTTGATAAGATTGTTCTGTGTTCTACTCCTAACGTCAGGGATTTCGTCGGCTTTGACAGATAAAATTCCTACATCGTCTCCTTAATATCAAACAACTCTTACTGAATATATATATATATATATATATATATATATATATATATATATATATATATATATATATATATATATATATATATATATATATATATATATATATATATATATATATATATATATATATATATATATCTGAATATATAAAATATGTTTATCTGATATCAATTATATATTAAATAACGAGGTCAAACAGGACAATAAAACCTATTGATTAATTTGAGAAGAAGAACAGACAACTCCTCCAAGATAAAATGGTTTGTCAGAGTTGTCTCTCGTTTCTTGACACATTTCCACTTACTAAACCACTGTACAAAAACCCAAGGTGAACAGGCACGTAACATCAGGGGGATGGGATGGGTGTGCAGGGGAGATCTGACCCCCTTTTTTTCAGACATAACATTCTACTATTAAACTTGTTCACTGAAAGATCGGTTGCCAACCCCAACCCCCTTACTTTTTGTTGCAGTGTATAGTAAGGTATGGGCAATGTATACGTAGTAAGTGTATATAAAAGTTGGCACTGAAAGAAGTTCCATCGTCCCTCCCTCCCACACACACACACCCTCACACACACCCCACCCTAGCCTACGAAAATCCGGTAGGATCTTAGTATCTTATTCCTTGTAGGATTTTTTTTTCATTTTTTTTATCGCCTGTCTTCTAACTTTTTTTTCCCCAGACATTACTCATTCCTTTTTCCTAGCATAAAGAAAAAAGTTCAATTTAAAACACATATTTTGACACTGTTCATTTTGCTTCTGTAACCAGTTACAAGCTGACACTAGAATTACTACAAATTGCATGTCAATAAGATTGTACGATTTTATCTGGAGGGTGAAGTTCTGTTTCACACAAAGAGTAATATTAAAAGTTAAAATTAAGAATTTTCAAAATTCCGCCCCTGTGGATTCTTAAGGTCGTCTAAAAGAAATTTCAAGAGGTTTTGTATTTTGAGTGGGTATGATTCTCCCATACAATCCCCTATCCCAGCCCTGTTAAATATAAGCTACTGGGTCCTTCTTTGTCGTCTTTTTTAAAGCAAATGACGTTAGCAATTCACAATCATACTGTAATGTAAATTAAATCCCGATTTCCTTAATAATGTCTTTAAAATAACACATCAGAAAGGTTTCATTAATTCAATGATTCTCTTGGAATATTTTAATTTTAAGATAATTAAGGAATGACTCTAATTCTTGACCAAATTATTCGATATAACCTGGTTTGGGTCAGTTTACGCTTTATAATCCGCGAAGCAAATTATAAAAAAGCGAAAACTAACACAAACTAGGTTATACTCGAATAATTTGGCCAAGAATTGGAGTCATTCCTTATAATTTAATTGTAAAAAATTAAATAACTGTGGAAGTAAAACTGTTTTGCTTTTTATGAGTTCAAATTTTCCGCTCAATAACACAACCGTAGTAACGGAAGTGATGGTAAGCGAGGGGAGGTAATAACTGATACATAGATCACATAGATCTAGCAGCCATGATGTTTGTTTACATGAGGTACATGTAAGGTTGAACTACTGTTTGAAAATCTGAAATTTTCCATGAATCCCGAGGACTGTAAATGAGGACTGTACTGTTAATGAGGGGATTGCACGGATACAGACGATTCAGCTCTATCAGCTAAGTGTCAAGGGGGTGTGTCCCCATACCAAACCAGATTATACAGAATAATGTGCGTTCCTTTTTGGAAATCAACCAATGAGAGGCTAGAGTACAAACATAATTAAATTATAAATGAACAATTAACAGTAGACTTGCAGATCTATACATGCATGGATATTATAAAAGCATGGACACCATACCACTGTTTCTTCTTTAATCATGGAAATTCTGTGCTACAGAAATGCAATTCTGGAATAACATGACATAATACAATCTTTTTGTTTTTCATTGTCATATAAAACAAAATATACATTCTTCACAGCCTTATTTTAACTTTACAAAATAAATAAATACTGGCACACTATTTCACAGTAAGGCATACTTTATCCAGAATCAACACAAAAGGTGGTCATAAAACATTTTAATCCTCAGTTATTGCAACACTGTATGTAAAGACAAATGGTGATATATGCTGTTCATTCTGCATATCTACGAAAGTTTTGGTCTTGATAGAAATGAAAATTACCTTCACAGGAATTTCGGATATTATAATTGCAATATCATTCTCTCTTTGTGTATCAAAAATTTACATTCATAAGCCTAAAATTACATGTAGCTGTAGAACTGCAGCACTCTGCTTTAGAAAATTCGAACGGATAAAGACTGAAATTTTAATTATCAAGCAGAGAGTTACAGGTTTGTACAACTGAAGCTAGCCTAAAAGGACAGTCGAGGTGAGGGAATCCAAGCTGGAGTAAATTAAAGGGGGTGGAAAGTGGGAGTGACAAAATTCAGGTGAGAGGAAAGAGAAAGTATAACTGAGGTGGTAGAATTTATGAGAAGAAAGGGAAAGAGCAGTCGATATGACGCTATTCAAATGTGAGAAAACGGGAAAAGAAACTGTGGAATTGACGGAAATCAAAAGCACAGAGATGAGGTGATTGATAGAGTACAAGGAAGACAATTGGGGAAAACGGTCGAGGTGACAATATGTAAGGGCGAGTTAGGGAAAACTTAATATGCAATCTAATGTGGAGATTGAAATTGAATTGAATTGTGAAGATGATATTCAACGCACTTCAAATGTCGCCAACTTTCTAGAGATGTATTAACTGGTTCTCTGACCTTTCAGTCCTAGACGATGATACAGGAACGTTTGTGTGTAATTTTTTCTCACACCGAACAGACGAATACGTATTTATGTTGTATGTCATTTAAAGCAAATGTGGTAAATATCACTAAGTTAATATGTACACTACAACGTTTTCTTCCATCACAGTATTCCTCTGACGTCATCTTCGTGATGATTTTGGGGAATCCTCTTTAAGCGTTTGAAGGTATTTTTTCTGAATGGCTACCTTCACGCAACCGTCAATGAGCCTCGGTTTGGGTAGCGTATCCCTTAGTTTCGTACATCCGGTAGTTGAGGGGTCAAACATAATGAGGTCACTACAGAGAGTCGCGTTGTCGATCTCGCCGCCTAGTACAATGACATTACCACGATGTTGTATGACACCAAAATGAATGCGCTGAAATGCCGTGAGGCGACCAACCGTCCGACAGAATGGCTTTTTGGTCGTGTCTTTTCTATCTTTAACAAATTCTACAACCCGTCCATCGAAGAAAATTAGAAAAATGCGTTTGTCACATGTGATAGATTTCGTCAGTTTACACGCCATCGGGATTTTGGCGTCTACTTTCGTTGCCTGTCGTGTGCGAGTTTCGTAACACTGAATGAACGCTGTGTCCTTCCGGTCGTTTTTCTCCCCTCCGAATATATAAATGGACTCGCCCACTACGGCTGCAGAGAAGGAGCTGACGGCAATGGGAAGGTCTCCCGCCGGCTCCCACTCGTCCTCCTGAATGATGTAGCGCTCAATGCTTGACAACATCCGGTGTCCGTCGTCAAGCTTGTTGTCATAGCCACCGATAGCGTAAAGCGCCCCCGTGACGGCGACTATCGCATGTCTACGTCGTCCATACGCCATACAATTATTTTGGAGCCACTTGTTCTTGCTGCTGTCGTACCACAATAAACACTTCTGCATTGATCCGCCCCCGTTGATGTATATGTCGTTTTGATATGTACACGAGGCGAATTCGATTCCTGGATCATAAGGAAGAGGCGCAATATTGAACCACTCTTTTCTGTAGAAACTGTAGCATATCACAGTTAAGGAACGCACATATGGAGGCGTGGTCGATTCACAGCCACCCAGTAGCACGAGAACCTCTTCTTGATTGGCAGTCAGACGCAGACACGTCTGCTTTCCTTGGGCTTCCTGTTGGCGGGCGGGTAAGAGTTTGAACGACTTTGCATCATTAATAAATTTCATACATGCTAGATTTTCTTTCAAAAATTCGTGTTTTTCTTCTAAGTTCACTAAATACTCTGGCGTGAGGAAAGCCAGTCGAATCTGTTCAAACAAAATACCACAGCTTTCTTTCCGCTTTTCCACATCCCTTTCAATCCATTTGATGACGAGGTCACATAGCTGGTCCTCGTGGTCAATGTCCAACGTGTCTTCTTTAATGATGGACGCCACTTCACGTCCGTCCAAGTCCCAAAATTCTTCAGTCTTTATAATTTCCTGGAAGTTCCGAGCTATTAGCTGGACAGACTTTTCCGTCAGAGTATGACAGTCGTGAAGAACGGAGAGGCGCCAAACCTTGAGACAATTTTCGTTAGTTAGGTGTGGATGTAGGAACTCTTCGATAATTCCCTGAAGAGCTTTGACTTGTAAGACAGCCGCAATGTGTAACAGTTCCACTGCGTTTTCCGTTGTCATTACTTCCTCAGCTTTGCCTGTATACATAAAGCCTAAAACGATTTCAAAGAGATCGGGATCCATCTCCGGAAACGTTACCTGACCACTTAGGCTTTCGCGCATACCCGAACTAAACATGGCGTCAAAATATGGTGACATCGAAGCCAGGATGCTTTTGTGACATTTAAACGTTTTCTCTCCGACCTCGATTGTTACGTCAGAGTGGTCACCCGTTGTCCAGAGTCTCTTCATAGAATCACACAGCAGGTCAAGGTAGACCTTGTTTAGCGCGGATTCTGAATGTTTGGACGCCATATTGGTTATCTCGTTATACTTTCTTCTCTGGTCACATGTTTCTCAAAGATCCCAGCCTCTTTTATACTGTGTACTTTCAATCTCTGAAAAATAAGAAGGACAAGGTTTTAAAATTGCAATGCTTTATCAAGAATACTTCGTAAAACAAAATAGATTGTTTGATTTATGTGGTATAAAAGCCAAAACTTCATTTAACAAATAAGTTGACAACCTGATAAATTGTCATTCAATCATTACAATCATTGTCAATGTGTTAGTACAAACAAAAACCTATATTTTTGAAAGGTCTATCCGCAATCCTTACCAGCCAATACAAGGAAAAACGATAATATCTTACATTTGAATCAGAAAGACAGAAAACTATTCAAAGTTCCTTAACACAAATACGATGTTCAACCAAGATTTTGACCGAATTTCCTCAACGAAAATAAACCAAGTGAATAGCTTTCCAGGAAGAAGTACGTTTTAACTGTGTCAATCCCTCTTGTACATTTTATTTTATATTATTTATTAAAAATGCATATCACAGGCAAACTACATGTATAAACAAAAACAGGATGCTTTATTTCATTTCCTCATCCTCATGTTAAGTGCCTAACGAACGCACGCGGACTTTATGTTGTTTATCGTGTTGGTTCCCTCCTTTAGTTTCCTGAAAACATGTTTTTTTTTAGAGACTATGCCCCTACCAGGGCATGCCGGGTGTTTGAGCAAATGAGGTACAAAATACCGGGGAATTATTTTTTAAATTTTATTCTTAACTCAATTTAAGCAATGGGCAATGCACGAATTTGTTTTGTGTTTGTTTGGTTTTTTTTTTTACTCAGTCATATCGTAAAACAGTTTCAATTTTTGAATTGAAAAAAAAAAATGTTCATATTCCTGGAAGTTATTGACATTGTTTCAATTTACTCAGTCAGGTACTTTTTTTGTGGGTTTTATTATGACAATCTCTTATTCTGGGACATCTGTACAGATTGAGTGGTATAATATTTTGCGACAGAAAATCGTCCTTGATGAACTGATAAACAAAGCCGTAAATCAAACTGCGAAGTAGATGAATTAATTTGTAATTAAAATTGTTGAACCCCCCCCCCTCTCCCTTAGTGATACAAAAGATAAATGAAAGTGCAGAACTAGATCTTTTAGGTGAACTTCTATACTTGACCTTAATTTATAATCTATAAGTACGATATAAAACATGAATTATAAAATTCAAGAACTGCATTCCTTCAAATATTACAACACCGAGGAATTAGATACGTATTAAAATGTACTGCTTATGCAAATTTAATGTCGGCGTCTTGACTTAGAAAGATTCGGTACAAATGCTTCAATTTTAAAAAATAAAAATATCTCTACGAAAATTAGGTTTCATAACTTTCGACCTTTTGTGTACCTTTTTACACTCTAGCTATTTTGCCGAGGGCTTGAACGGTCTGCGTCATAACATTGTTATCACCCTAGAAAACCAAAATGTGCATACAAAATCAATGTTATATCCGAATAAACAGAACTAATTAATGCAGTGCCCTCCCGCCCTAGTACAACACACACACATAAGTATATAAATCAGGAACATTACGCTATTCATGTATTTCTTCTAACCGCTTTATTTCTGTATTAGACAGTTTATTTACATGTATTCAATAATATTTCTCTTAGTAATGGACTGATACAAACGTGGGGTCAAGAGGAGTGAAAGGGGGGGGGTGCCATGGTTTGAAATCGTCAAATCGTTGCTTTTTTTTTTAATTGAACTATATAATTTCTAAAAGCAAGCCTCTGTCTATTCGCTCCAAGTAACTTGAAAAAAGTTAAGTATTTTTGTCAAAGAAATATGTTTCTTTAAAAAAAAACTTTGATTCTATAAAATGTTTACTGTCCTTTGGTTGCAGTAACTTCTCAGGGACATCAATATGTTACTTTTCTTCTACAGCACACTTCTCTTTTTGTTTTTTAACACAGAAACTTGAGTGACACTTAAGATAGTTTTTTTTTGGTCCCCAGTCATTGTGTTTTAGCACATGAGAGATCATTGCTTCATACAAAACCCCTTTTTGATGCATTCATATGCATGTACTAAGTGTTGAGACGTGATTCACATTTTAATGTTGAAATGTCATAGTATATTTATTTAAGACGAATTCATCTTCAACTAGACAATATGCATAATCTACATATCTACATGTGTACTTCATATAGTGCTTCTTTTATTTTCCTTGTTTGTGACTAGATTTTAAAACCTGTGTATCTTTTATGTAATATTTATTGATTTATTTTACGTATCATTGCATTCCTAAAAATTTCGACTTATTATATTGATTTTCTCCGTATACATGTAGAATCTTCCATCAAATGTACATGTCGTATTTGTTTAATTTTAAAAGTTATCATATATAAATTTTCAAATTGATCAAATTCAAATTTCTATAGAGGTAGATTTTAGAATATTACAAAACATATTTCAAAGTTTTGTCAGTAAATAAATAAAAAATAATAATATAAATGCTATTATCCCTCAAGATGTCTCAGAATTGTAATAGTTCATACTAAATCCCTGTTGTTCGTTGTTTTCTGCCTGTTAAGTGCAATTTATAATGCTAGACTTTTCCCCCTTTATGTCAACCAATATCTCACATTTTTTTGTAAACAGAGACAGTTCCTATCATTCTGAAAATTATGTAACACGCCATCTCTGTTGGACGTGGCTGTGAAAGCACCTAATTGAACTGAAACGACTAAAACATGCTAGCTAATTTACTATTAATATCAGATAATTCTATATTCCTGTGCATGAGGCCACAGGACTTTGCTAATATTTTACGTGACCACTATTGTGTGTACACGCATACAAAGGTGGTCAGGTAAATTTAACACGCCCTTATGTGTGATGTGTGATGCCAGGGAAAACTGTGTATATACTTTTCCTTTTTCCGGGGGTGGGGGGGGGGTATTTTTGTGTACGAGTTTTCATGGCAACTGCATTTTTTTCTCGTTTATACTCTAGAAGGACTCAAGCCACTCTTAAAGATAAAGTGTCTGCAAGTGTTTGTTTTCCTGTCGTGGTCAAAACATCAACACGGAGTCAAGGTGTAATAATCAATAGGTTAAACTTTTCCAGGTGGGAAAAACGGGGGGGGGGGAGGGGTACTAAATAGTTGGTGTTTGCATGTCCTATGCCAAACGCCCAAAGAGACGATAAAATCAACTGAGATTACAAGATGAATTGCTGCTGAAAGAAGTACTATCAAAACAATAGAAATTGGTGAGAAATTGACGTATTTATATAAAATGCTTAGCCCCAAAAGTACATCATCGAGTTAAAGTGTTCTTTTATCAAGCAGTTAAAACCACATTTAAGAGTGACATGCACGAGATTGGATTATACACATGCACCGAACCCAGGTGAAACACTTATATGTACTTCCGATGTGTATAGTACAAACCCGATCCTAGCCGTCAAGAGTGTAAAAAATGTCAACAATGTCTGTCTAAAGAAATCGACAAGTGAAGCTCTAAATTGTCTAAAACTTACCTCTGAAAAAAATCAACATGTTTCCATGTTCGTTACATCTTCCTTTAAAAATGCAACTTCCTGCTAAGACATACATACAGTACGAAATCGACAATGTCACAACGTGTGCTCGTAAAAGGCGGTGTAATTTTCTCTCGTTGACACGTGCTATATTTAGATCAGAGGACCGCCGAAGGGGGAGATTTAAAGTAGGTAAAGTTTATATACATTGTTCAGCAGACCATGAAAACAGCTTAAATTCTGTAAAAGACATTTAAATAGATAACAAAAGACACGACAGGGCCTTGTTTGTGTTAATACACGGAGCTGAATGCGATAGCTTTGTGCACTTATTAATCAGATGAAAAGATTGACAAACCACTGCGAGGGGCGGATCTAAATGTTATCCTAATCGCAACCTCTCGGGCGTTATAGCACAAAAACAACTTTTTTGCTGGACTGACCAATGATGATGTACTTGGGCACTATATACATGTTACATACCTCCTGATTTAATAAATGAATATAGTACGGATGCATATTTAATTGACCACATTACAATGTTTCTTTCAAGCAATTAGTATGGAAGTCATATATTAGATTTGAGCTTAAGAAAAATAAGAAAATCAAATTAAAAGAAAAGGTGAAAAGTGAAGATCTAAATAAATAAATACACCTTGGATCCCTTTAAACAGTTAAACTCCTGTGTATGCTGATTTACAATGCACAAAAAACAATCGTTTTATAAAATTTGACGAAACTGATCGGATTATTGAGATTTTAAGGCTGTGAAAAGATTTATTAAGGAGACTACCATTTGAGTTTGAATGGGCGTCTAACAATTTTAAAAACAAATAAACTGTACTCGAAATTTTTTTTGACAGCCCCTCCTCCCTAATCGAAATTATCGTCCCCATAAGCCAAATTGATAAGCGAGCATCTTCCCCTTTCTCTGAAGATTGTCATTAACTGTCAGTTTTTGGTGTAAATATTTGAGTTGCCGATATACTTATTTGCTTGATGCATCAAGTTCACCTCATTAATGTCAAATATTTTGGTCTTTTCATATTTGAACGTAAAGTATGAGATACGCCTTCAGGATTTATGGCTTCGAGTCTCGAGAATTTTTAAACACGTTCTATAAAATTTTGCATACCCTAGAGTTACCACTTATCACATACGCTGATCTAGCTAGCTACCAGTGCACTCTCATATGCTTTATAGCTACTACTGTACCCTCATATGCTTTAAACATTTTACTCTCGTACGCTATTTATAACAGTTATAACCTGTACCCTCATACCCTATTAATTACTACCTGTACCCTCCTATGCTATTAGCTGCCACTGTACATTCATACACTTTACCTACCACTGTACTCCTATACACTATATATATATTGCTATCACAATATTCTCACATATGCTATAAGCTACCACTGTAGCAACTTACGCTATATCAAAATTATACTCTCATACCCTATTATAGCTATACAATGTACCACTGTAGTGACTGTACTCTCAAATTCCATAGCTACTACTGTACCTTCATATACGCTATCACTACCACCGTTCTTTAATACGCTTTATAGCTAACACTTTACCCACATAAAGGCTATAGCTAAAATTGTACTTTTATACGCTATATAGCTACCACTGTAACCCAATACCTTACAACTTCCACTGTATCCCTATACATATATATTGCTATGTGTCATAATACTCCCATACGTTATAAGCTACCACTATATCATCCTATGCTAAATCTAAAACTAAACCCCCATACACTATATAGCGACACTGTAGTTACTGTACCCTATAGCTAGCATCGAACCGCCAAAAACTATTTAATAGCTACCCATGTATGCTAATAATCTATATAGTTACCACTGTACACTTACACCATAGAGTTACCACTAAAACATCAAACGCTAAAGCTACCACTGTACTCTATGGAACGCCGACACTGCCTTATAGCAGAACACAACAATTGCACTGCGTCAATCTTCCATTACATTATGTCAATTCTTTATGACATTTACTCACACAACTATTACATTTTGTCAACCTTCTATTACATTATGTCAACTCTACATGATATTAACTCATACTATTATAGCATTGTGTGAACTTTCCTTTACATTATGTCAACTTTTTATGACATTTACTCACACTACTATTGCATTGTGTGAACATTCCTTTACATAATGTCAACTCCATATGACAGTTACTCACACTACTATTACATTGTGTCAACCTTCGGTTTCATTATGTCAACACTTTATGACATTTACTTCCACTATTATTTTATTATGTCAACCTTCCATTACATTATGTCAACTCTTTATGACATTTACTCACACTACTATTGCGTTGTGCCAACCTTCCATTATATTATGTCAACTCTCTATGACATTAACCCACACTACTACTGCATTGTGTCAACCTTCCATTACATTATATCAACTCTTTATGACATTTACTCACACTACTATTGCATTGTGTGAACTTTCCTAAATACATAAAGTCAACTCTATATGACATTTACTCACACTACTATTCCATTGTGTCAAAAATTCCATTATATTATGTCAACTCTTTATGACATTTACCCACACTACTATTGCATTATGTCAACCTTCCATTATATTATGTCAACTCTTTATGACATTATCCCACACTACTACTGCATTGTGTCAACCTTCCATTATATTGTGTCAATTCTTTATGATATTATCCCACACTACTATTGCATCGTGTAAATCTTCCTTTACATTATGTCAACACTTTATGACATTTACACATTCTTGCATTTCGTTATACTAGTATTTACTGTTCATGACATTTAATTAAACAACAATAACATTGTGTTAACCTATCATTACATTATGTCAATTCTTTATGATATTAACTTACACTACTACATTATGTCGATTCACTATTACGTTATGCGAACACGGGTATCCTCGGCCTTTATATGAGCATAACGTATTTTCCGCGTTCCGCAAGCACTAAATTGGCGGGAGAGAAAATTGTCGTAGAAGAAATCTCAGCGATTTGGTAATGGCATCTTTAAATAAAAATTTTAAGCGACAAAGGATTGACAATCTTGAAACGTGCAAAGCCTTAACACTGCGACTGTGAATTAAAGTCACGTCGAAATTCAATGGCGTTTACTTTAATCTGATAATTAAATAAATCAAATATTATGAGTCGTGCAGCAATTTTTTTTTCTTTTTACTCGTATTTTGAATTGTTTGTTTGTTTTTGTTTTTTTTTTTTTGGATAAAAGTCTTAAACTTCTGATCTTACTTAGAACATTGTCATATGTTTTTTTTTATCAGTCTTGAACTTTCCTTTTTTTTAAGTGTAAACACATCGTTATAACACACGTGCACTGGGTGGGTTGGGGGAGGGGGAAATCCCGTTACCATCTCTAGTGACCAAAATCTACATGTACATAAAATTAATAAATTTATTGGTTTTACTTTGTAGGACATTGCATTAGGTTTACATTGAGTTTAGCTGAATTAAGTTGAAAACTATTTTATAAAACTATAAAGCCTGAGAGCTTCTCCGCTTTCCCCCTTGGTCTCCAACCATAAACCGTCCCCCTTCAGGCTTGGACAATTTTTTTTTGTTCAAGATTCTCAAATCCGCTACTGATATGTGCCCATGCATGCTTACTAAGACATATTCAATTGATTTAGATGAGAGATTGGTAGATTTTTATAATAGAATTCTGGCCCAGGAATGGTTGAAAAAATTACTAATTCCAGTGACGTATCATCTTTTTTCGAAAGAATTTCAGCCAGAAAAAAATATTCGCCCGAAAAAAAACTTGAGAAGCCAAAAAAAATAATTGTCCACTCCAAGCCCAAAATCCTATTTCGGGGAGGGGGGTAACTTCGATCAGTCCTAATTTTTTTGTCAGATATATTACATTACCCTCAGTGGACTAAAATTCAACAAAAAGTGGGGGTGGGGGCTGTACTTTCAATGAACATTACATTTTCTATTGTAAAGTTATGTCTGGGAAAAGAGGGGGGCTGATATTTTGTGTCTGTAATTCTTCCTAATCAATCAGGACCCCCCCCCCCTCTTACCAGTCATAAAAACACGGTCGTCAACATTCATTTTATACCAAATATACAGCTTTGAGAAATTGTAAATGTATTTTTACATCAGGTAATGCACTTTTGGAATCAACATGATAAAGAGTAAACACAATATAAAGATATTTTAAGATCACATAAGAAAGAGTTGACATAACGTAATTATTTATCCACATCACGGAATTGAGTTTTGACATAATGTGATAAAGTGTTGATATAATATAAAGATATGTTCACATAATGTCATACACTTTTTACACCACGTAATAAAGCACTGACATAAAGGTAAAATGTTTTCACCTCACATCATGATGCTCTCGCCGAAAAATAAAGAAAAACCCATATCATGTAATAATGCTTTGATATAATAGAAATATACACTCTCAAAAAGGAATGGATTTTTAACTTCATGTAATGATAAGTTTAATTATAAAACACAATTCACTTGACGTAATGCGATTTTGACCTCACATATTAAAGAAATGAAATGATGTAAAGAAACATTCATTTCACGTAATAAAGTTTTAACACAATGTAAACATATTATCACTTCACATAATGAATTTTCGACATCAAGTTATGAAGTGCTGACATAATGAAAGGATGTATTTACTTCATGTAATGCAGCATTGACATGATGTAAAGATATTTCTACATAATCTCATAAAAAATTGACATAACGTAAAGATATGTTCACATCACGTAATAATAAATTGACATAATAAATGCATAGTTGTATGCTATAAGGCAGTGTTGGCGTTCCATAGTACTCTCACACGCTCTATAGCTAGCACTGTACCTTTATACGCTGTATAGCTACCACTGTAACCCGATACCCTATAGCTACAGTGTAACATCGTAACCCGATACGCTATAGCTATCACCGTCCCATCAAACGTTATAGCTACGGCTGTAACATCAAATGCTATAGATACCAATACCTCCTCAAACGCTATATCTACCATTATACCCGCATGTGATATAGCTATTTCTATACACTACAGAGCTACATGTACCACTTTACCATGAAATGCTACAGCTACTATTGTACTCTCATAAGCTTTATACATGTACCTTTCACAGTACCCTCATACACACTAGTATAGCTACCATTTGAACATGGTAAAACAATTGTGTACGTAGGAAGTAACTCTTCCACATCAACAATATTAACAGTTCAAAAAGTACATTATATATTCATACATGAATTGAACATACAGACCAGAGTTTTAATGTTCAAGACCCTTCAGGAGGTCTGCCTAGTATAACGTTTAAACAGAAACAACAAAAAAAAAAAACCAAAGATGTTTAAAGTGTATTCCACAAGATGAGTTTGTCTTTTTGATTTCACATTCATTTGTACGTATTTTCGCACTTTGAATCTTGTTGCAATCTGTGGTTCTCTGGGATCATATATATCTTGTTACGTTTCCTTCTTTTCTAGATGAACTGTAAATGGGGATCCATTCACTTCTATATCACACCACGTGACAGTAATGACGTAATCACCTGCCTCCTCTGCCTCATAAGAACAGATCATGGTTGACCTTTTTTCTTTGTCTGGTTCCATTTTTACTTTAAAAGCAGCTGAAAAGGGATATATCATATCATAAAAGGAATTAAGAGTGACGCCTATAGAATACTCGTCTGAAATGTATCATTCTTTGGTTGATATTTCGAGGGCAACAGTCTTACATATACGTCCTCAAACTGTCAGGGTTCCTGAGTCCAATCGTGGCTCTGGAAACCCTGACAAACTTCATTTTGCTCTGGTCAGTTTGTCATATTGAGAAGCATCCAAACTTGGACTGTAAAACGTGAACAGAAAGTAAGCAGTCCAAAGGCTTCTCAATGCACATGATGGAATTTGTTTGTTACCCCCAAAATTATATATAAGTTATAGACCAAGAGATAAGGGAAACAATCAGGCTTTATTTTCCCCGAGAAACGTGGATGCAATCAGCCAGTAAAAAAAATTAAATTCAGTTTGTCATGGAGCCCATAGCCACAAATGGACACAGAAGCTCTGAAGTTGTAACAAGCATGTAGAGCGATGGAACTAGGATTTAAGGTTGACAGAGCAAAATCAGAATCTCAACAGATCTAAATTTAATTATATCTTTATATTGTCTTTTGTGATGATTTTGTGTATATTGTTTCATCATCTTTACCTTTTGGGCCCCTGATCCTTACACCTAGACTTCCCTGTCCAGCACCGTATGTATTCACATAAAAAGTAGGGTCGAATTCTCCTAAGAAACCCTCTGGGGCTACACCGGGTCCCGTGACAGATATTTTGTCAATTCTTGGTTTGGATGCAGGAGATGAGACCACAGGGCTATGTAACACTGAAACGAGATATAAATTATAAATTAATCCAAATACATCATTATCTCTTATTTTACACGAAAAATAAATACGAAAACTTGTTATCTGCTGCTATATGACGGCCTTATGTGTCGACGATAATTTGTCTTTTACTATAAGCTTAGAATTGACATAAAGTTTATGGGGAGTGTCAAAACTCTTTAGGTAAGTCTGAACACTATACACAAAATAATTCTAGTTTAAGGGTAGTTTTATGCAATTTTAAAAAGTGATCTGTCCGTACAGTTACAATGTAAGGTAGGATAAACATGAATCTACAGTTAATGAGAGTGACAATTTTTACACGATTAAAGTATTCCTAATATCTTATTATAAAAAGATAAATATGAAATACTTTTATTAACAATATATTTACGTCTTAACTAACAAAGTGCTTGTTTTTAATTAATACTTATTGTTTTTCAACATTATGTTGGGAAAATTTGTAAGGTACCCAATGTTGAAAATCTACATGTTTACTTTTTTATATGATACATGCATAAGTTTTGGGAATTTTGAAAGCAATTTTTTTTTGTTGGAAAAATGAACTTTCCTCACAGGCATCAAATCCGGGTATGATCGTATGTGTCTTTTCTGCTGTGTCTCCCTTGTGACTCTGTATACATTTGTCATGCAAACTAACACTGCACGTCAAGCAGGTCCATTCAGCAACGTCACCGGAACTGCATTCTGCGCATGCCATACCGCCTACTGACGTATCTGTTCATATGGTCTGTAATGTAAAAGAATGTCGTGTTCGATATCAATTCCTGAGATCGATAATTCAAACAGTGTGCAAATTTATGTACATGTACTACGGAAAAAGATCTCGTTTGTGTGCAATGTAAAGAAGAACCGAAACTGACATTAGAAATGTCATGACAGAAAAATGATTTTTGTAAAAAAAATTTAATGTATAACTATCGCTCGAATAACCTTCCGAATATTTGAGGAGGCTATTCGAAAAGCATTCCTATATTTATTACAGACAGAGTTTATAAGTGTCTGATGAAAGATATTTTTTTTTTTTCAAAACTGCAATTGATACTGAACTTAATACAGTCATGTATTACACAGGCATACACGTTCAGAGATTCAGAATCCTCCATCTAATTGTATACATCGAATCCATGTACGAAATACACTCTTGTGTGAGGAACAAAATACATTGCATACATATACGAAATATATTCTTGGCTGCATAAAAAATACCATATGCAATGTAATATACCATATTCCAGTAATATATATATATTAGACGTACTTACCGTTTTCTTCCCCTTTCTTTACTTCCTGTTTCAACACTTGCTCATCCTAATCCAATAGGAGAGGGTTAGCAATCACGATATTTGGTAGGATGGTGTTTTTTAAGTTCTTTAAATCTTAGCAAAGTCAAAACTCTCAAGATTTTCGAGTACCAGACATTTTTCTTTACTTAGTACATGTATTTCTCAAAATGTTTACATTTGTAAACACGCACTGCCTGGATTTATCGTGACGGAAATCTCACATTTTTAAAAATAGTTTCTGAATCAGTAGATTGCTCATTTATTTGTGTTCACCGAAGCATAAAAAATAAAATCTAGGACATGCATTACAAATCTGCCCTGTCGTCTCTAATTATCTGCTGGTCTGTATTCTGCTAATGATAACATTATACTGTTTTAAATATACTTAAATGTTTTGCATTGAGCCATTGAAGAGTTTTTTTTTTTACTTTTGTTACACAATTGACAACCAAACATGACATGGAATATACTGGTATTCCATAAAAAAAATTAAAAATGGTTTTAAATATCGTCAGTTCGTTTTCAAGTTTAATGGCCTTGAATGTTATTATAGCAGTGACATTTGCTGGGTTGGAGGGTTCGTAGAAACCGTAAATAAAGTGTTAGCTGGGCAGGAAAATCGAAGTACTAGATAAATATTATTAATACTGTCCTATCTTATATATATACATGTACTTGTACCTTTTCAGTCTAATCAGCATTTGACAACTTGTGGAAACCGCGAGCCTGAATTAAGCTATAATTTCTAAAGATTCTGTGATTTTCGGATAAAGGAGAAAAATATATATCATAGTCAATTAGTCATGTATTTCGAAATATTTATTGCCTTAAAAGTTACACATGGTTAAATCAAATGATATCGATTCTTTTGCGTGCAAATCTATAATTGCAAAAACCTTCCATCGCCATTTAAAAAAATTTAGAAAGTTAATCTACAAAATCTCAGTGTTGCATTGTAAACCACTAAAGTGAGTATAAAAAAGGGTTTCAGTAAAACCATTGAAAATTATTGAATTGTGCAAAAATAAAATAATCAAAGTACTCAGAAGTACAGAGAGCCGGGCTCATTTACAGAGTATAATGGATTTCTTACATGAATCACGTTTACATTCTGATGAAAAAATTATATTAAAACTATCAAGATAAGACACTGACAGTGAGTTTTTCAATCCTAATACCACGGTCCGATTTTGTCAGAATCAGAATTAATCTGGTACCGCAGCTGAATGTAAACAAACAGGTCAGTCTGGTTCCCTCTCCTGCTTTATCTCGTATGTGTAGAGAACTACGGTAACACTGATTATCAAAAATCCTTACGCTAATGAATGTTCTTTGACTTATGAAGTTTTCAAAGTCATTATTACTAATGTTTATTTTATATAGAAAAAAACTTCGTTTTATTTTTGTTGCTTTATTTAGCGTTTGTATTATCTCAAAAGCGGTTGAGAGTAAGAACTATATTTTTGCAGGTAACTTTAAAATGGCGACTATGGGGTCAACATCCTGCCTTGAACAGGATCACATAAGCCGGCAATTGCTCTTTGAGCAATAAGCCCGGCTAAAAATCAATTTCTGTGTATAGAAATCTTCTACTTAAACAATCAGTTTCCACTGGAGTCCACTGTTATTAATCCAATAAAGGGAATAACTTATAGATCCATCACTTTGATGATAAATATTACTACTGTATAGAATAAAAACAAGATTTGCCACTGTGATCAAATAAACATTACAGAATAAATACTAGATCCACCAACAGTGATAAATTCATTAAATAGAATAATTCCTCGATCCACCACAGTGATCAATTCACTAAACCGAATGAACAGCACTAGATCCACCTAAAGTGGTCAATTAACTAAATAAAACATTGTAAGGAGTTGTCCGGATCTTCGTATATTCGATGTTAACCACAATCTACTTCCGGTTTTATCGAACCCTATTCCAATAGGACTGCCAACACACACCCGGGAAGACCGAATGATCCGCCCTCGAGTACCGTCTGACGTCACCTGGAAGATCGTGTTCGATTTGCAGTCACAGATGTAAATGTTCTCCTCAAAATCTAAAGCAATGCCTGCCGGTTCTCGGAGCGCTCGATCCTGGTATCTGTAAAAAACATCGATCCAAATTTCAAATTATTAATATCAACATAAACCAAAAATATTCTCAAATTCTTACTGTAACTGCAAATGTGGATTAAACTTGAGTCCTATCATTCTAGTGTTTTACCTGGGAAAATATGTTTCTTACTTTAAGTTAATTTCGAAAGAAAAAAGAAACGTCACTAGAAACATTTTTCTATGTTAGAAAGGAAACTTTTTAAGGGAGGTCTAGTGCTGCAAAAATCTTACCTGAATAATTCTTCTCCCTCGGTCGACCTACAGACAATTGCGTCACCATCACGGTGGTAAAATCTTTTGTTGTCACGTGACACTATTACAGGAGCGGTATAAGTAAAACTTTCTTCAGTTGGAATCGAAAAAACTTCACCGCCGTCCTCGTCAAAAACTTTGACACAATCCCCAAATGACACCACTGTCTTATCCGCCATACAGGCCACGCCCTCTGGTGCAGAGAATGTTGTGACAGCACTCAGGAATTTCAGGGAATCGTTTCGAATACGATAACGCGCAATCTTGCAAACATGTGGGAGGGTTACTATGACCTCATCATCACCTGCTGGTGTGACGTCACAAGGAGCGGACTCCAGTGGGAATTCCATGACTGGATGATAGACATCTTTCTTAAACTTTTTCAGCTTGTGATTATTGTAATCCGCCATGAGGAAATAATGACCATCTGACATAAACATTCCTCCTGTAAACCAAACGATCCGCCTTTCATTAGGCATAGAGCCGTCATAATCCTTCTCCTTGATCATTTTCAGGCTGACCGGATCCGGAAAATTGTTGACTATTTGGGAAACCTTTCCAGACATGCCTGTGTAAGTTCCGGCACCTCGTGACGTAATAATCCCTATATGAGAAGGCTGCTCCGGTGAAGTCTCTATGTTGTCATGGTTGTCAAATTTCACCTGCGCGCGCAGGAGCTTTAGTTTACCCAGAGATGTCATTTTTTCCGCTGTTATTAAAAACTGTTCATTGAATTCAAATTTGTAATCTAAATCTTCAGCTTTCTCCCTATCCACCTCTATAATTTCTCGATGGAATCCTATTTGATGACGTAAACGTTCGGACGTTATAAATAGTAGCGACGAGTTTCCGTGTTTAGCAACTGCCTCGAGATATTTCATATCAAGATCCATAGCAAGTTTTGTACTCTGAAGAACAACCTTTTGATTCTCGATCTTTTTCGACTCTTTCGTATGAAACTTTTCGAACCTCTTCAAAGACTCGTCTCGAAGAACCTCGAGTCTCTCGATTGCTTTTTTGGTCAATAGCTCGATCTTCTCTGTCAGTTCTGTGTATTTCAGGTTCAGTATTGTCGCTGTCTGTGTTTTGTCGGCGATCTGTTCGTCTGCTTTATGGATGACTTCCATCATGGCGTCCACAACTTCCGTCAGTTCTCCCGTGCTCTTGATGTCGCCCGATAATTCGTCAATCGTTTTGATTCCTAGACATTCTCGATGGTTCGCTGCAAAGCACACCACACAGCAGAGCTTTCGATGCACTGGACAGAACAACTCGACATTCTTACCCTTATGCACGGTGCACGTTTGGTCTGTGTTCGATACAAATCTCTGGTTGTCGGGCTTGTTTCGAACTTCTTCAAGGGGGATGATTCGATGACCATTAATTTGTTTGATTTTTCGATGAATGCCCTTACAGAACTCGCATAAAGGCTCAAAACAGTCCCTGCACCAGTGTCTTGCCACAGTTGACTTTCCCTCTCGTTTACAGGGTGTGCAGATCTGTGTATCACTGTTCAGAGGAATCCCTTCCGCTAGTGACGTAATCAGGTTATTATTGGGAAGTTGCCCGGCCCAAGAGTCATGATTGGAATCTGGAGCCGGTACAATGGTTGGGATATGACAAACTGGGCAGGTGAACTTTCCCTCTTGTACGCAGTCTTCCGAGCTCGACGTGATATAAGCTGTTAAACACCCCTCGCAGAAGTTATGGAGACAGTCCAGCTGCTTCGGATTAGTAAAGTGACGTAAGCAAAGCGGGCACGTGATGACGTCAATCTCCGGCTCCTTTTCTCCGTTCAGTGAAGTCACTGATCCCTTATTCATGCTTAGGAAGTAAGTTCTTGTCTTAAATCTGACTTCTTTCTTTGACTAATACTATTACGATCCAGACAATATCTTTCGTCTACTTGATAAAGCCATCAAAGTATATATTGTTAAGATCCATTTGTTCAGTGAAAACTGCAAGCTCGAACCTTCTTTCTCAAAGCATAACTTATCACTACTATAAACAAACGAACATGGGGTTCTTTGTCAAAAAAGGACACTCGGACTAACCATGAAATTCGACATGTATTTCATTTCATTTAGCAGTTATAACACATGTAATTTGTCTTACATTTTATACTTAAAATAAATAATTCATGCATCCTAATACCCAAAGTAAACGTTTTATTGATTTTTTTCTAAGGTATATATGTATTTCTGTTTACTTAGCGATAATTAATTTAATTTTTATGACAAAAACCCTGTCTTTGGCCCCCGTCTTAATTAATTGTTTACGGCTTTAAACAAAATCTTTGTAAAAAGACAATCGGCACGATCAATATGGAATATCTATCTCTAAACATTGGTCTCTGAGCCTTTAAAACCTTTGTGTGTTCCTAGTGAACGGTTGGTAAAACCCTTATATATTTTATTGATCCGACTGAGAGTTGGAAAAAAGAAAAGGTGGCTATTAACATGTAATTTCTGGCCGGAGATTAATCCGAAATATCCATTTTTTAAATTTATCTATTTATTATTATTATTTTTTTTTTTTTTTGTTTACAATTTGGATATTTTAAATGTCAGGGAAGCTCACGTAAAATATCAAATCGCTAAAAAAGTGAGGAAAACGTCAGATTTTTTAGCCTAGCTGGTGATATTTTATCTCTAAATACATAACTTCTTCACTTTCAAGGTTTATAACCCGCCTCAATTCAGGAATCGTTTTGGGAGTGATTAGGATGCCTCATTTTTTTTATAACTACGAAAACAGCGCTGCCGTCTTACTTCTATTGTTTAAATTTTATTCGAATAATTTTTTCCCCAATTCGTATTTATATAGGCGAAATGACTGTTCGTTAGCATATTAATCCCCCCTTCCACGTACAAAAAATTACATTTAATTCAGAATAATTACTTTAAAATACAAAAATTAAGATAATCATCTCAGTCAATGCACAACACATATACACATATGTATCTCCTTGTATGTATAGAAACAATTCTTATACTGTAAACCAACTTTTATTCGCGTGCGGGAAAATTTCGCGAAGATCGCGACAGTCTCGTCATCGCGAATATTTCTCGCCGCGAACCAGAACTTAAAGTCTTTCTGTCTATTTAAAACAGATCGAAAAAGGCTTGATCGCGAAAATTATATCCTTTTGCTTATATCCCCTCGCAATAGAGTTGGAAAAGTATAATATATGACAATTGGCTGTGTAACGCAGTCTTGTTTGTTCGTTTTAGGTGAGTGAGTTAATATGGATCTGTACGAAACGGAAATAAAGTAATTTCCATTGGAATCGATTGTGAGGGGATGCTTCGCCTTATTTGTTTTTCTTTTGTATCTAATTTAAGTTGTCATACAGGGGTTCCGGTTTGATTCGTGGACAAGCCAGGCATTTTCTCTGGCAGCATAGTTCTCAGTTCCTGCTAGCATAAATCGCACTTTATAACAAAAAAAAAAAAAATATTGATTGCGTCCAGGGGGAAATAATGCCATCATGTCTTTACATGTGTATATAAAGTCGCCTTTCTTTTCGTTTATTTCTTTGTCTTTCACAAACCATTTTATTTTAAGACATGAACAGTTAACACTAACTTGCAGTTCTGTTAATTCTCTACAATTTAAACAAATAAATATTTTCTTTCAATTTCGAAAGAAAAAAATGTAATATTGTAAGGGCAATAACTCGCTCATGTATAAAAGATCAGTTTGTCAGGACAGATTACCGCGCTTGAGATATTAAGGTGGAATGCCACACCAAGTTCTTTGAGTCAGTCAAACAATGGTTTCAGCATTGAAAGGTTGATATTAGCTCTAAAATATTTTATATTAATTTTTTTGTATTTTTTCAAAGAAAATGAAAAATATTATTTATATCCAAATAAGATGCTGTAAATGATTTGCATCATATTTATATCTAATAAAATATGTAAAGAAAGGCTGGTTAGACTTTTTAATTCTTTTTTTTTATTAATGAAAATAAAACACATTATTTGTGAATATTTTTTAAACCTATGGATAAAAAAATATTTGCAATTTACCATATTTTAAAAAGAAATTTAAATGAAATTGAGAAATTTTAGAAATTTTGTTTTAATATTTGGACCTAACCCGATCAAACAAAGACTGATCCCTATCAAAATTAACACGAAATGAATAAAATACATGTACTAATTTATAGCCTCCTTCAAGTATTTACATAGTCCGAAAAATCGTACGTTTTCCTGGCCTTTTTACGATTTTGATATTTAAAATGCCAGGAAAACGTCAGAACCGGCGCCATTACGAAAACTGGAAAATCTCCGCCTCCAACTGGAGGCGGCATTCTCGAGTTGATATAAGATATTTGCGAACTAAATTAAAATTCAAATTTACAAGCTATCAATAGTACAATGCTTAAAATACTTACCAATATAGTTTTTATGGTTCGTTTTTAAATTATACAATTTGTTGAAAAGATTTTATCACATTGTCGAGATTTGTATTCATACCGTGCATTTTAAAATCGTGCAAGTTCTGTAGCGAAATGTGGAGTGATATTTCCTTAGTGAGTACTAGAGGCATTGTGCATTTGATAAATGCTGATTTCGGCATTTAGTTTGGTTTGCAAGTTCCAAAAATGAACTCCGGTTGGAGAAGGCGAAATTTCCTTTTTACATAATGGCGCTGGTTCTGACGTTTTCCTGGCAAGTAAAATATCAAAATCTTAAAAAAGTCTGGAAAACGTCAGATTTTCGGATTAGTATTTACAATGAAGAAATCTATATGATTGTCAAGTTCAGTTATGTTTTAACCCTTAATACACCTAATCAGATTAGTGTTCTAGGGGAAATGTTATTTAATTCCAATAATTGTACAATTATATATGTTTGGGATCAGTTTAAGTTTGATCGGGTTTGGCCAAAATTTAAAAAAAATTAATTTCTCTAAAATTTGGCCATTTCGTTTCAATTTCTTCAATAAATTTGATTAACAAACATATTCTTCCCAGTTGTGACTGGTTTTAGAAAGATTTTAACCACAAGTTAAAAAAAATATACACAGATTATGTGTTTTTCATATAAATATATTTTTTTAATTTAAAAAATCTATACGGCTTTTCTTTACATATTTCATTAGTTATTTATGTGATACATTCATTTACGGCAAAATTTTTACAGAAAGCATCTTATTTGGATGTAAATAACTTTTTTGATTTTCTTTGAAAAAATACAAAAAATCATATAAAATATTAAGAGGCCGTGTCAGTAACCATTGAGTATTGTATATAAAGTGAGTGGAATGTGAAAAAAAATATTTTGCTTTAATATTTGGGTGCGTGGAAGTATAGATGAATGTCCTTTCAAACATGAGTTATTTGGGTCACATCTCCCTTGTTACCATAGCAACGGTGATTTTAATGCTTGAAAAGTGTGAAATTTGATTATTGATAACCCTGTCAAAATTAATTACAGAATCAAACTATGTTTTTCTTAATTTCAATATACATGGGAGATTTAATTTTTCCCATGTTTATTTTAAAGCATTTGGGGCCTACTTTGCTTTGTTTCTACCAAATGCTGTAAAATCAACATGATTTTTATAAATATTTTACACGAAAACGCAACCAAACTCTATCATAACCATACATGCAATAGAAACTACGAGCTTTGAAGTTATAAATCCAATATTAAAAAATGGTAGTTGGGTACTCTATAGCAAATAATTTGATTTAGAATGTACTACAAATATGAAAACGCGTGAACGATTACCTCCCTTTTGTGGAACTCTCCTGCTGATAAAGAACAGAAAGTTGCTGTTGCAGTAGAAGTCGGAGAAGGAAAACACCATGTAAAGATGTACAAGTTTAGCTTTTAAAAAAAGCTTAGAGAGTCAGCCAGTGGATTTTTCTTCTCTGTGATAATGTTTTAAAGAATCATAGAGAACTGAAATAAATGCCTTCAACAAATTTTAATCAGTAGCAGAGTTGGCCACTAAAATCAAAACCTCGTCTTAATATTTTTTTTTGCATAGGAATAGAAGCGTTGGTACATGCATATTCTTGTATTTTTTGTCTCAAAATCAAAAGAAGGGAAAGTATGTATAAACATTTAAGTTCCAATTCACGTAACATAATTCGAAGAAGTTATAAACCTACAATCTCATTACTGATCAGATCTGTAAGATTTTAAGGGGAGGGGGATATATGGCAATTATGCCATTTTAAGCAAAACGGAGCCCAATAAGCTTCACTATCATCCTTGTTAGAGTTTATCATGCCGCCGGTTGAATCACTCTTGGCTATGTGTTCAGAAAAGGGAAACACCCTTGTCCTTGCCAAACTTAAACACCCATACTGAACCCTCGTTTTTTTGAGAATACCAATATAGGATTATTGAAATACCTAGTACATTTAAGAATTTAAAAAAATAAACATTTATTGTTCATTAAATTAGGCAACATGTAAGCTTTGACTGTGTAGCCTAAGCTTTTTTAGTTTATTAACTATCGTCATTTGACTTAACTAGCTGAATTTTGGCTTAACTTTTTTTCATAAAAAGTAGAATTGAAATAAAACAAACATTACTAAGACCTACAAATTCATTTATCAGACTTCTTATAATATAATAAACCTATTAATTCATAAATATGATTGCCACAACCTAGATCATCAGGTCGTAGTTTATGAAAAACAAGCTTATTTACGGATAATCGCATGCGCAGATTCGGGGGGAGGGGGGGGGGGGCCAGGGCGGGGCCAGAGGGAGTTATGGTTTATGACATTTAATTGCAAAAACTAAAAACCTTCTTAGAATGAAAGTTTTACACACAGTCACACAGAAGTATGAATTTATGACATTGACGTTTTTGAGTATATAATACATAGGGGTAAATTCCTTACGCCATATATTTGGTCATAGGGAGTTGCGGTATAAAATTTCATTGCAAAAGCTCAATGGCTTATAGAGATATCGCGCGAAAACAAAAGTGTTTAAAAGAGACAGAGTTTCTGAATTTAATACCTTGCCCTTTGACCTAAAAATCAAGAGGGTCTTCCAAAGGCCGTATAAGGTGTAAACAATTGTGTAAAATTTCTCTGCAAAAGCTCAAAGACTTCACGGGATATTGCGAGGAAGTGAAAGTGTTACAGACAGACAGAACTACAGATAGACGGACAGACAGACTGAAATTGGTATCCTCTATTTTCAACGGGGAGCAACAAACGAGCAAGCTTAGCCAGTTGTGTTTTCTTTCCGAAGTATCTGTTGTATGACTTAACAAGTCAGTCCGCTAATAAGCATCGGGATCGAAATGATTTGTAGCGAAAACGAAAGTAAAAGCAGTAAAAACCGAAAAGTTAAAAATATGTAATAAACCAATGTTTGTGCTGTAGATTTAAATACATAAGTAAAATACCTTCAAGATATTTTATAAAAGAGCGTCAATTGACGCGTCAAACACTAGATTCATCCAACAGTAGCAACTGTATGCTTCGCTGCGTAGAACACATGATCAGGCGCGAACCAGTCAAATTACTGCGAACCAGTAAACTGTTTGAAACCCTCTAGATACAAAAATAAGCATCGGGAAATTCCTTTTTGAGTTGAATTTACAGATTACTTTGGTGTTTAATAGGGATTTGATGGTTTATAATCTATATTGATTTTACTGAAATAAAATTAGCAGGAGTGATTTACTGCAGAACCACCTCCCAGAATTCCAGGTCACGCAAGCGCATTGGAAGTTCTTCGTACCATAATTAGTCAGCCCGCGGGCTGACTAATAAAGCAGGTCTTGTGCGGTTACAGAGGACATGACAGCATCAAGAGTTTGTAGGTGACTGAAAAGTACTATTTATAGTCCGAAATATCTGACGTTTTCCTGGCTTTTTAACTATTTCTATATTTTACGTGCGAGGAAAACGCCAGAACCGGCGCCTTTACGAAAAGTGGGAATTCCAAGCAGCGGCATTCTCGGGTGTATTTTCGATACTTGCAATTACTTGTCAAACTCACAATTTATCAACAGTACAATGCCTCTAGTACTTACCAATATAGCTTTTATGGTTTGTTTGTAAATATATGATCCGATGGAAACATTTTTTCTGACTGTCGAGATTTGTTTTCATTTCGTGCGTTTACAAATTAAAAAAAAATATACAAGTCCTGTATCGAAATCAAATGATGAGTGATTATTTTCTTTTCATTAATATTGTCAAGTACTAAAAGCATTGTGCCATTGATAAATTGTGACAACGGCATTTAATGCGGTTCCCAAGTATGGGGAATCAACTCTGACTGGAAATGGCGAAATTTCCAGTTTTCGTAATGGCGCTGGTTCTGACGTTTTCCTGGCACAGAAAATATTAAAAAAAAAACTGGAAAATGCCAGATATTTCAGACTTTATTATTTAGAGCATATTCATCAATCACTGATAAGGTCAAATTGGTAGATTTCCACTCATGTATGTCTGCGTATTAGTGTTCTTTTGATAAGTAATATTTCAAACAATATTTCTTAAAATTCATAGCCATACCCGCTATACCTCATTATCTCAGGTCTATCAATATATATTTTTCGGAGAGCTACAGTTCTGCAGCTACACTAAAACAAGATGATAAAACTTGAGGTTGCTAATATTGATTTGAAAAGGGGAAGGGAAACTAGGATAACAGACTAAACTCTGGTTTCAAAATTTGCTCCTGACCCTTAAAGTCGAGGGGAGGGAAACCAGGATTTATAAATTTTAACTACAGGAAATTTTGACTTCCCAAATAAGTAAGGAGTGGGTGGGGTGCTATTCCTCCTAAGCCCTTGATCAGGTTGGGCACAATTTCCGAATACGATAATTCTGAAAATGTGAGACTAAATATGTAATATCGCGATTACCTCGCAGTTATCTAACTTACTACCACTCTTTTGGGGGGGAGTCGAGAAAGCTCGAATCTCACGAGATTACAGGGGCACAATGGCATTGTTTACAGTAGTGACAATCGAATGATTTGAACAATTTTATGCCGAAAGTACAATGTATTGCCAAGAATTGAATTCCAAATAGTAGATTGTCAAATAAGGAAAGTTTAGATTATTTTATCAGCTTTAAAATGCCATGATTTTCAATGAAAATTTAATGAGAAGAGCCCGCTTAGTTAAAAATATCGTAAAAAATGTAACATTGAAGGATTAGCTCCTCTCAAAAATTAATTAGGCTGGTTCAGCGATTGTTAAGGACGGTATTCCACCAGGATTTTTTTACTTATCTGTCCTCAAAAATTCTACAATGATCGATCTTGCATTGTATTCAATAGCACATTTGTCCCAAGCCAACAGACGTTCCCTACCTCCATCGCGAAAGAGTTCCACTAAGTCATGTAATCGCGATATCAAGTATTGGAGTATCCCCTTTGTCCAGTTTAATGTCTTAATATATCATATCCCAGTCACTATATATGCTATAGGCTCAAGTAAGTTTGTAAACAGGTCTAAAATATTTTCAGGAGAATCATGATGATGATCAGTTGCAATGTGAACTACCAAATAACCATGAAGTACAAGCAGATCCAATTAATGTGGAACAAATAAAGGTTTGTATTGAAATTTTTACATGTACTGAATTATTATGCCCAAAGAGCATGAACATATTTTTGTTTGTCCTTTCTGTCTATCTGTTGTCAGCTTTAACCTTTACCATGACTTTTGAACTGTGAGATCATATTTGGTATACATAATCCACTAATTAAGTTCTTTTAGATTACACCAACATCAGTAACCTTTAGACCTTGATCTTTTTGCTAAAACTAGCTTTTCTATATTTGTTGACGCTGGGGGCATACTGTTTCACAAACTTATCTTGCTTTAAATTACTTTAAGCATCAGCTTGTTTATTATAAAGAATCAGCAACTATATGCAGTAGGGTCATGTAAATTTGTAAACAGATATGAAATACTTTCAGGAGAATCATGATGATGATGAGCTGCTATGTGAACTACCAAATAACCATGAAGTACAACCAGATTCAAAGCATATGGAACAAATAGAGGTTTGTACTGAATTTTTTACATGTACTGAATTGTTTAGAACTACTTTGAGCATCAGCTTGTTCTTAAGAGCCCAGCCTCAAAGAGTACCGGTAATCACTTTGTTCATCCATTTCTTTGTTGAGAGATAACTCAAATGCTATATGTCCTGGAAACTTCAAACTTGAAAGGATTGTGACTCAATAACTTAAATCCATTTGACCTATGAACTTCATATTTTAAACCCAGACAAGAAGCCTAAAATGGGCCCATATTGCTCACCTGGTCTTCTGTCAAAGGTTGTTAAAGACTGATATCACGAGGCACATTTGTGTCATGTAAGCTGTGCTTTTGAGGCAGGTATGAAATGCATTTCAGATAAGACAATTTCATTGAAGTCTACTGTGACCTTAGCATTGAAGTTTGACATTGAGTTAGGGTCATGGCACACCACCTTATCATTAGGAGCATTGTATGCCAAGTATGAAGCTGTTCCATGAGGCATATAGAAATACAGACCTGAAAACTCCATCAAATTTTACCTTGACCTTGACATTGAAGGTGTGACTTTGGCTCAGGGCTGTGAAACACTGTCTCAGCATGAGTATTATTTGTGTCAAAATGAACTTGTTTTAAATGAAGTTGTTAGTTGGATTGATTTTGTATCTTTCTTTTGTAGGTGGAATCAACTTCAGACGACAACTTTTCCAAACACCTTGTGAAAGTCATCTGAATGCCAGGATTCTCAAGAGCATGAAGATAGTCCATTACATAGGAGGAAGACCTTGATTATGTATCTTGATGCCATTGGTGAAAAGGCAGAAGTCTAACACTGACTGTGAAGAAAATGACTTGACAGCTGAAGGGAACATGAACAATTTGAATCAGATTTCTGATATGGCTCTTAAAGCAGTGAACTAAAAAACATTTTCTTACTAAGTTTAAGATTTTGATATCAAAGTTTTTGGAAGGGGGATATAGGAATCACCCTGTTTGTTTGTCCATCTGTCTGTGGACAACACTTGGATTATACTGCTCTAGCTCTAGTTGGTTAAAATAGATAATATCTAAAATCAAATGTGTCATACTTCTTGTTTATTGTGCATAAATGTACTCTGAAGAACATACTGTATAAGTAGAATTTTTAGCGAGGATTTAATTTTGGCATTATTAGAGATGGTGCTGACATCGCTAAAATTGAATATTGCTAAAAATTAATGTCTTATTATTTGTAATAGCTTCTTTAGTAAACATTTTAAAATCGCTAAAATTACTTCTGGCTAAAAATAAAATACCAGACTTTGGTAGAAATCGCTAAATTTGCATCTCGCTAAAATTTCCACTTATATGATATATTATTATTTCTAGCAAAATATTTCTGTAAAATATTTGACTGTACACTTAAGAAAAAATTCAGTCTCAGAATCAGGTACAAGATATGCTGTAATGGTGCCTAGTTGTGTCGCCTGCATAGCAAGGGGACTCCTAGGGATCACTTCTCCATTGTCTGTCAGTCTGACTAGCTGACCATCAGTCTATCTATCTGTCACAATTTGATATGTCATTCCTGACTCCTGAGACACACATTTTCAATGGAAAACTCTTGTTTTACGTTTATATCTGTGATACTTTTAGTGAGCATTGATATTTGACCAGTTGATTGGTCTTTGATAGTAAAATAAGATAAAACTTGAAATATAAAGTTGCTGTAAACTACATTTTCACAAGCCTTGCTGATGTTAAGGTTTATTTTCATTTGAATAAGTATAAGGTCGTCTTGTGTTTAACAGGCACGACTTCTCATTATACCCCCTGTAAACGAAGTTTGGGGGGGTGTATATAGGAATCAGCTTGTCTGTCTATCTGTCTATCCGTCCGTCCCTCTGTCTAGCTGTGCAAACATGTATGGTCCATATCTTTCTTACGGAGGAACATTAGAATCTACTACTCCATACAAAGATTGCTCATGACCTAAGAGTGTGTCATGACCTTGACTCAAGGTCATTTGGGGAAGTTCAAGGTCACTGGAAGAAAAATTTCATTATTTGTGTCCGTTCCATATCTTTCTTATGGATTAACTTGGTAAGTTCCCATTTTACAAAAAGATTCCTCATGACCTAAGGGTGTGTCATGACCTTGACCCAAGGTCATCTGTGCATGTTCAAGGTCACTAAAAGAAAAATTGTAAAATTCATGTTTGGCACATATCTTTATTTTGGATTAACTTGAATCTACTACTTCACACAAAGAGGGTTTATGACCTGGTGTGTTATGACCTTCAGCAAAGTTTATTTAAGTTCAAGGTCACTGAAAGGAAAATTTCTTAATATGTGCATGGTTCATATATTGCTTATGGGTAAACTGGTTAGTTCCTATTTCACATAAAGATTCCTTATAACCTAAGGGTGTATCATTACCTTGATGCAATGTTATCTATGCAAGTTCAAGGTTATAAAAGCAACAAGTTCATAATTCATGTTTTGTACATATCTGTCTTATGGAAAAACTTGGTAAGTTCCTGTTTTACACAAAAATCGCTTATTGTATTGAGGATGTGTCATGACCTTGACCCAAGGTTCTTTGTGTAAGTTTAATGTCACTGAAAGGAAAAACTTCATAATTTGTGCCTGGTCCATATCATTCTTATTGATAAACTTGGATACTTTCTTTTTTACACAAAGATTTCTTATGACATAAGGGTGTGTCATGACTTTGACCCAAGGTCAATTGTCCAAGTTCAAGGGCACAGACAGTAAAAAAATTATAATTCATGTCTGGTCCATATCTTTCTTATGGATAAACTTAGAAGGTTCCCATTTTACACAAACATTGCTTTGACCTGAGAACTTGTCATGACTTTAAACCAAGGTCATTTATGCAAGTTCAAGGTCACTGACAAAAAAAAATTCATAATTCATGTGTGATCCATACATTTAGTCTATTTTTAGGCTGCACCTTCGTTTCATTTATAAAAAAAATTAATGAGCAATTACATTTGCACTAAAATGTTTTAGCTTTTCTCTCTTCTCTTCGATCCATAAAATATTCATGATTTAGAACTTCTGAAAAACCCAGCGGGGGGGGGGGGTATTTTGTCCCATTTGGACAGTTCTAGTTGTTTTTAGGTTTATAACTTGAATAATAAACATGGTACAGCAATGTAAATTAGCCAGTAGACAGCATTGGAGTCCCTTTGGGTTGAACATTGCGTCATTTTGACATATAACTTCAGCTTTTGTTATGTCATATATGGTCAAGTTTTTGCGTATTTGGTCCACATTCTGACTATATTGTATAACTATTAGAATTTGTAGAGCAATGGTACTTATTATTACTTATATGATGGGGTAAGTACAACAGTATAGTTGACAGTTGATCAGGATGCCATGACCCAAATATTCCACTTGAGAGGCTTTAATTTCCTGGGTGTATGTTTCATGTTTTGCCGATCCTAGTCAAGTCAGTTGCTAGGGTATAAATTCCGTTGCTATGGAGATTACTTTTCCTATTGTTTTGTAAAAAAGTCATACATTTTATGGAGTTTTTTCTAAAGTACTATGTTTCTGTAGATATGGCATCTAACTATTAAATATCTGTTGTAATATTTAAAAAAAATTGTCAAAACTTGCGAAAATCCATTGAAAGTGTTTTGAAAAAATGCAAATTTTGATTTCTGAAAAAAAAAATTGGGACATCCGACTACCAATTTTTATTTTATTATTTCATAGTATTGGGATATATCTTTAACTTTGTATGACATACAATATCTACGGTTGTTGCGTTTTTAAGTATTCAACTTTTGAAAAAACTTAATTTTCCATGGATATTCCCATCATGAAAACCTTGTCATTTTTCGGTTGCCATAGCAACCATATCAAAATTTTTGAAAATACTTACAGACATGAAGATATTTTCTTCTGATGCATCTTTCATTATTTCAGTATAAGAAAACAAATTTAGACCTTCCAATTGTTCCCTCCTCTGCATTTAAATATGTCTAAATTTGTATTATTTTACAATGTTTCATTGAGAATTTACTATGCAAATCACATTTGTTGCCATGGAAACCAATGATGATGAATAAATTTGTAACATTTGTCTTAAATGTGTTTTTTGTTGTTGTTCAAATATTTTAGGGTGGTTTTTGCCCAATTCAAAATTTTTTACTTTCCATGTAAATCTCAATGGTTACTGACAGGGCCTCTTAAAGAGCTACACTTGTAATGCCGGCTTTTCAAAGCTGAAACCATTGTTTAAAAAGGTTGACTCAGAGATCTATAAAATAAAAAGTTGGTGTGAAAAGAAGAGGGGGACTGGGTAGGGCACCCCAAATAATTACTAAATCTCATATACTTTGGATACAAAAGAGAAGCCTGGCTGGACCCCCTCCTTTTAAAGCAGCCAGTTATTCAGGACTCCAGGAGAATTTGAACTCAATTTTGGCTTTTTATGGATAATATGCCGACTCGATTAAATCCGATATTTGATCTGTTGGTATCAACTTCACATCTAGACACAGTTCCTATCCTTGTACGTGGTCTAACTGAAATATCCTCATCTCCGATACTGGCTACACGAACCCATAATTCACCATTATTGCTGGTAGCACACAGGTGTTTCACTGACCCATTTTGTTCAATTAGAATATTCTGACATTAAAATGTCCCTTAATACAGTGAGAACTGTTTAATCTGACACCTGTATAATACATCACTCTGTGTATTCCGACGTTAAATTTCATTTCAAATCCCCCCTTGTTTTGTACATTGACTTATCCGATACACTGTCTATTCCGACATAAAATGTCTCTTCCAGTGGATGTTGGATTAGACAGGTTTCACTGTGTTTCGGTCAATACTTTTTTTTTTTTACAGAAAATACATTCGACAACTGATACAAGAATTTAAATTTTATTTCTATGTCGGTCGCAAAAATGATATAACTACATTACAAAAGTAAATCTATAATGGTAAAACAGAAAAATAACGTCATAAAGTCTGACTGAACACATTCACATCCATAGTGTATAATAAACAGTGTATTGTAAACAGAACACAAATATTCACAATGTCACTTGTAGAGAGATCGAAAGCATTTACATGTACATACGGGTATTTTTCAATCTCATTCATGCGTATACTATAATGAATATCAAAATATAGGTTTTTGTTCTTGTTATTCCTTAAACACCCGATTCCCCTTATAATTACTCGTATCAATTTGTTCACATATAGGAATTTATTATAAGAAATATTTTAAACAGTATGATCATATACGAGGAAGTCCAGAAAGGAACTGAACAATGCACATGCGTCAAATCATAGTCTCCAGAACCCTTGGATCGCCCAGACCTGGGTGAATCTCGTCTATTGCTCTATTGAATTCTCGTGTTATCTCGTCACTGCTCGAGATTAGAGATGCTTGGCTTGAAACTCCTATTGACGATTCTTCCACATCCTCGTACGTACACCCGGAACTCTCAGACATACGTTTGGAATAACCTCTTACTCCGATTATATAACCTGTGTGATATTTCCCTGTCTTTGTACAGCTTGTCTCATTCTCTGACAACTGTTTTCCATCTACTTTCTCTTCCGATGCACTGACTGAACTACAGGGCATTTTTGAAAAATTGTTTGTGCTTAGTTTTCTAGAACTTTCGCAGTCGGTGTCAGTGTTTGCTGATTTAGTTCTTGCTTTGGCACTAATTGCATATACATTGTCATTTTCTGTAGGGTTCTGATGATGAATGAAATCACGTGACTCTGTTGTGATCTTAGAAGGAGTCACGTGACCATTGAAAACAGCAACATCATTGGCTGCCTGTTTCTGACGTCCACTTCGTTTCTTTGGTTTTCGTCTACGACTAGAGTCGTTATACGCGGGAATATAAGGCTGGGAGGGGGAGGAATTTGCGACACCTGTTGAAGCCTTAACAGGAAGAAACACGTCGTCCTCACTTTCTGTCGTTTGAACAGTCTCACTCGTTTTCTTGGGACTCCGTTTCGGAGATGAGACCTTTCTAGATGATGACTTTGTTTCAGAGATGTTTTCGTACGTCTCATATATATGTTCTGATCCAGATTCCAAAGCAGAATCCGTTCTAGAAAGAAATTCCGTGTATGAGGGCGGACCGGAATAAGGCGGGGTCAAGGTTGAACCGGAAACAGAATCAACAGGCCCTTGTTTTGTATTTCTTAGGAGAAATGGACTTGAATATAGTTTAAAATTGTCCCGGATTGCATTTTCGCAGAAAATGTCACCGGGTGTTCGGAACACAACATCGTGAGAGACGGATCCTTTATTATACATTGGTCCGACAGGATGTCCTACCAACTGGAAGGCGGATCCATTTCGTTGTATTGGCGCGGGTGGCAACAGTGTCGTCGAATCAAGCGTTCGCGATTTCGGTTGGGACGGCAGTTGTTCGGAAGGAGAAGTCTTTCTTTGGCGTGGGTTGGTAAATGGAGATGTGGACCTGCACCTCTGTATTGGCTGTGGTGGTAGAAAGTATTTCTGTACAGACGGACGTGACTTTGGTCGTGGAGCCATATGGACGTAACCGTCGTTCTGAGGCACCAGTTTATTGTCGTCCGTTCCGTCCGTTTTCCTCTGAGGTTCTTTACTCTTGGTGGCAGATTCTCTATCCCGAAGACAGTTTTGTAGATCGCGAGCTAATTCGCCCATTCTAATATTACAACCACTAACGGGGCCGGGTTGTGGTGTATGTGAACGCGGCAGAGTATTTGGATTAGGTTTTCTATAAGGTTGAGGAGTTACTGCCCTTCTTTGCACAATAAGTTCGGCATTAGGTGTCGCACCTGTCGGAGTAATATTCAAATTTCCCTGAGATTTCAACAAGCGAGTTTCTTCCTGGTACCTTCTCTGTAGATCTAAAATTAACAGTAACTGTTTGGAGTCGAGGTTGTTAAGAGTGACCGCACGCCGCTCCCTTCTTCTGTGTTCCTTCAGACGCCCCTTCTTGACCTTGTCGCTTTCGGAGGCATTGTATATAAGATCAATTGAATCGCACGATTTTGACCGCGAGAGAGACTTGTCTACAAGAATTTCATGTTTATCCTGGTTTTTAAGGATCCCGGGTGGGCAGGTGTTCCTGCCGTCTAGCTGACTGTTTACTTCCGGTCTTCCCGGTCCGGTATTTCCTTCCGATGCTGGAGTGGAATCGGCTTCCGGTTCGCCCTCACTTTCACTGCACGAAGACCCTCCGCTTACAGTAAAAATCTCTTCATAAGTTTCATTCTGAAAAATATCAAATTCAGAAATCAAAGAAGTATTTTGAAAGACTTTTTTTTAGAAAAACATTGCTGTCTCGCCATTACTGTTGTCATTTTGGGGGAGGGGCGAAAATGTAGGATGACAAACACAAGGCACCCCCGGTATGTGTAAACGAAATCAGCTAAGCATTTTGTGACGTCATATGCAGATCAAAAGGTCACCGAGCCGAGTCAGTACAAATAAACATAAACGTAAGGTATAACTGTAGTGTATATGGTGTAACTAGTCCATTTCAAGTTCTGTGCACGAAAAGAACCCTTAATTCGGTACAAAGCACGACGTATTAACAATGGAAACCTACAATAACAGTCGCAATATCGTCAATAGCAATTCCTGCTTATAATCTACATAGTGTATTTAGTACTGCAATATGGACTATTGTTCTTATCTTTCCAAACGGACTACGGGCACTTTGGTCTATATAAGCTATGTGTGACACAGACATTTTGCAGACAGGACTAGGTTAGTGATCCCCGATAAGGCAGTTTCATTGCAGTCAGCCATTTTTTGAACATGGGACCTCGCGATATTGCAGCCACTCTTTTTTGTGTTCTCATTTTCGTGGCATTAGCACGCGGATCGGATGAGGCGGGATCCCACCAAAGCGAAGATCTGATTGGTCGGTTGCTGATGACGATTCAGAAGCTGGAAGGTCGAGTGAGGGAGCTGGAAGCCGCCGCCATTCAAGGACGAAAAGAGGCGAATGAAATGAGGGCAGAGATCCATGCTTTATCTGACAAGTGCGACTCGCAAACACACGAACATGTAGGACTGACAAAACGTAATTGTCTTATGTCTTATGTATATTATTCACAAATGTGCTTTTCTTTCGATATATTTGAGTCATTTACAACAGTTATTTGACTACCTCTGCTATCAATGTTCTTAGTCGAAATCTTTTCAGGTCATGTTGAAGACAGTTTACTTATAATTAACAGTAAGACCAAAAGTAACCTTTTAAAATATGCCGGTATAGTTTATTGTGCTTTGACTGCATGTTCTGTTCTTCTAAAGGCTAATTTAAGATATATACCATAGAAAATATTACATCGTTTCTAACATATAATATTTTGTTCTTTAATTAGGTCAAGGATCAACTCATAATGCTTTCTATGCTTACATGAACAACAACCTGCAGTATCCTCACCCGGATACCACTTTCGTTTTCGATAACATCCGGACTAACGTCGGTTCCGGTTACAGTAACACCTCGGGAGTTTTCACAGCCCCTCATGCCGGGACGTACGTGTTTACCTGGACTATCACTGTTGACTCTAACTCATATGTTTTCTCGGAACTCACCGTAAACTCTGTTGCACTTGGTAAGTGGAGCAAATACATGTAGCTATTAGATAAAAACAATTTAAGCGCCACAACGGAGGTCAAGTACCTATATGAAGGCGGTGTGTCATCGAAAGATGATCCTAGAGATTTATTTTTTTTATATTCTTTGTTATTTCCGTGCCGTAATTTACATGTATGTTTCAGGGTTTGGTGAATGATAATCAGATAAATGAGAATTCGTAAATAATACGATGTATAATTCATAAACTTGTATACACATGATTCCTCTACATTTTTAACAAGAAATGTCTAATCTGATATGTGATTTTCGCAGAAATACTAGTACCCGATATACAACTGAGGGAATTCATTAAGCTTAATTAATAACTGTTTCAGGAAACGTAATCACGGACAGTCAACAGAACAGTGAGTACCACATGACAACGGGGGTGGTGGTGGCCCAGTTGAATAACGGAGACATCGTCAGGGTGCGCTCTCGGCCGGGAATCAACATACACGGTAGTATACTCAGCGCAGGCTCACATCGATCTTCCTTTTCCGGTTGGCAGCTCTACTAAATTCTACTTCCGGTTTTCATTTTGACAGATTTTTATTCTGTTTGAAGTTTTGTGAAATTCTTGATTATACAATGTATAATGTATGCTTGTTCTCGTTACATTTGTTGAGACTGATATCTGAATGCAACCTTTTACTTGTTTTATTGTTTTTAAACTATATAAATGACTAATGAAGCGTAAGATGTTTTTCATAATATTTTTGAGGTTAACTTTCAAATATACATGTACTTTTCTAAGGAGAGTTGGGGATTTGAACTAGCCGGAAGCAACATTGCTTTTACGTGTTGTGACACTGGATTAAGGCTTCAATTAAGACGTAAAGGGGTAATTAAATTAAGTAAGAGGCATCTCTCGGGAATTTCAGCTCGCATTGCCTCGGTCGTTCTATTGGATTGATTGATTGTTTGATGTTTAACATCCCTCTTGAAAATTAATCACTCATGCATGTTGAGACGCCACCACTACAATTCTGACCTATGTTCAGCACTTAGGGCCATTGAGCAGGGAGGGATCTTTTTCGTGTCAGCACCTACTGCGACACGGGACCTCGGTGTTATACGGTCTTATCCTTAATAGGACCGGTCTACAGTTGGATTCCAACCCTTGACGTAGGGGTCAGCTCCTTGCTCCACGGCTCTAAAACAGACGCTCTAACTACTGCGGCACGTAGAACTTGTCCTTTGTGGTATACTTTCAGTAAAATGCAAAGGATTTTACCATCATGGCTTAAAAATCTAACATCAAACAAATACCTAAACCGATTATAAATTAAAGACATTGCTTTAATATTATTGTAGTTAATAAATATGGGATGGTTTTTCGAAAAGTTCACTTCGAGAAAATAAAAAATTAATGCAATTTACAGAGGGGGGAGAGTATGGGGGAATCTTACCCTTAAAATGTTTCTTTTCTCTAACTTTATGATGAGGAATGACAGGACAGCGACAATGGTACACACGATGAATATACACAGATAGAGGGCGCACTCAGCATATAAAAGTACCGGAAGTAGGGATTCAATGTCCTCACAACTGTTGCTTCTCTCAAACTTTATTTTATCTTTTTCTATAAAATAAGAAGAAATATCTTCATCAATTAAGCAAACGTATTAAATCTGACAATTTATTGCAATTAAACGAATAAAAAAAAGTTTTACATATACTTTAACTTACTTAAGGTACTAGATACATGTATATAATAATATCTGGAAAAAAATTGTTTAATTGGATCCGCCTATGACTTACCAGCAGGGAGAAACTCTACAGTTAGGCCGTCTCTCCGATATGACGATATACATTCACAAACCGAATCCTGCTTGATGTAGGTACATGAGTCGAGGTTTGTGATTGGCTGAAGGACGTGCGTCACACACAAGATGGCCAACACAACGCAAAGAAGTCCGCAACCTGTCGCCACCGCTAGGCAGACAAATATCTGAGAAAAACAAAGCAAGAGGAAGCAATATAGATGAACACTTTCGTAAATAAAAATATTTTGTACTTTCTGGTCTCAGGGTCAGGAAACTTAGTTAACTCGTTTAACGCTGATCATATTATTAATAAGATGTCGATCTAGCGTACACGATAAAACACTTGTCATCATCAATTAAATAAGAGTATGTTTTATGATCCTGCATGATCTTTTTGTATAGCAGAAATGAATATACAATTAATTCACTAAACTCAAAATCAGGTATAAAATTGAAAGAAAAGGGGAAAAAATCTATTTATGTTATACAAATGCATGCTTACGAATGTTGTACAAATACATGCTTAAGAATGTTATACAAATACATGCTTAAGAATGATTAATTTGCTACTTCATACCAAGCAAGATGGCCGCAACCAAAATAAGACAAGAACAATGGACCCTTTAAGAAGGACCTACAAAGAGAAATACATGTATTATGTAATTACTGAATAATTTTCAAAAAATTGTCAATTAGAGATATTTTAGTTATGATCTGCAATCAATAAAAGAACTTTGACATGTAATTTTGAAAGTTGAAATACAAACAGGCAAAGAAAAAACACGCTTTAAGTGAGGTGCAAGAGACACACAATTTCATCTTAAAAGTAATTATATTAAGATTGTTCATTATTTTTGTTACGTTTTAAAAAGGCTTGTAACCTGCATACAATTACACTGTACTTCCAGTAAACGTGAATCGTTATAAACGCCTTCGCTGTAACTGTATTATACTGTAGCTTTACAATGAACAATGTTACAATGGTGGGTATGTATAGAAATATTTATTCCAGGCTCTTTAAATAAATAAGATTTTTTTTATAATTAGAAATTTTGTTTTAATAAACGACACAATTTGAAGAATAAAAAAAAAACGTATTGCCATCTTCGTGTATGTGTACGATTTTAGGACGACTTTGTTAGTTTTTTTTTTTTTTTAATATAAAATCAGTGAATTGATTAATGATTCATCTTCATCTACATTACGGACAATAAAACATGAAGAATTCTGAATATATTTAAAAACCATCTCTCTCTCTCCACGTGTTGAACCCGATGTCTGACCAGTCAGGCGAAACAAAAGTGTGTTCAGACGACAGTTCGTCTCGCTTGAATTGGTTTATAAAGTATCGGGTGTCTGTCTGAACTGTGGGGTTATTTACATAAATTCCATCGCATAAACACTTTTAATTTGGCACGTTAACTTTTGTCCCACAAAAATAACAAAGTGTGCCAGATACACCACAGCGATAAGGGAGATAATCCGAGGTTATCTCCTTTTTAATAAAAATTCTACAGACATTAAAGAGAAAGAATTAATTTTCTCCCCTTAAACTATATTCAAATGAAGTATATTATATCATTCAGAGATAAATCTTCACTTCCTCTCAATATAAATTTCATTATGTATTTTATTATTACAATGATATGCTATTTTTCCTTTTCCCCCATGGTTGGCCCCTGCAGTTCCCACGTGTTTTTATTTTTATCTCTTTGACCATCGCCGGGTTGTTTATTAAATTAAACTTAAAACAGATGTCGAATTTATCATGTCACTTTTTCCTTCCCACTTCATCAGCTTTCACTGGGTCTAACGCTTTATTTTAACAACGGGGATTAACGATGTATTACAGGTTTAACACAATTATAGATACCCTATCACTGGTAAATCTTGTTCTCTTTTTTAAAATGAAAGTTCTTAAACTATATTAATATTCAATTGAAAGCTGTTGCTCTTATATAATAATCTAATTCTTTGATATATTTTTGAATCATAAAAATGTGGACGTTTATACAGTATTAATTATAGTACAACCTGCAGTTTGCATGGAAAGTGAATCCATGTACTTTACTGATTTCTTATTTTATAATTATAAACATGTATATTTAATTTAAAACAATGGCCGAAGATAATTTTAAACATGTACTTAAGGAATGAATTTAATAGCTACCCATTTTATACGGTATAAACTGGGTTGGGGCAGTTTACGCTTTATAAACCGCGAAGCGGTTTATAAAAAAGCGTAAACTGTTCCAACCCAGTTTATACCGTATAAAATGGGTAGCTATTAAATTCATTCCTTATAATTTAATTTTCATTAATTTGATGTAAGAAAAAAAAATGATTGTTCTAACAAAATGACCTCAGTTTGTACAAAATTTGAATGTAACGTCAGGCGGATTGATACGTTTTTGACGCAAGTCATTGTGACGTAGGCAACCCATTTTATACAATATGAAATAATTTTTTATCCAATCAAATACAGCGTTACAACCAGAATTAAATTATTTCAATATACATATATGTAATAACTTGTGGGAGAGAAGAGTGGGGATGGTTTTGAGAAATTAGTGCTAAAACGGATCTTCTCCTACATCATGCATTGCGAGTTAACCTCAGTGAAAAATTGAGAGCGCCGCGCGTGCAGGTTATTTTCCCACGGTCTTTATAGAAAAGGTCGATAGAACGTTTACACGTAATTTCGGTGGCTGTTGAAATTATGAGTCTGGCACTCATAAAACTTCACAGACGACAATATAATGAGGAACAACATTATCCCCGCTCATTCTCATGGTGGTTAGGTATAATTACGTGTGTGATCAGATTGGGGCGCGGATCCAAGTGGTATTATAATGTAAAGGAATTTGTTAAAAATCCACATACATATGTAGATTATTTATTAAGTCACGATGAATTTTTTCCGTTTCAATTTAGTAAGCAGCAAAATAAGTACATTTTCCCATATTCAAATAAACTTTAAGGTAAATGTGATATGTGTGTGTGTGTTTTTAAAACAGAGAAATGTCTCGTCCTTGACTATAACATATCTCTTAAATAATTTCAGAAGCCATTGTTAAGTGGCTTGGTGTAAAATGCGGAGGATGGAGTCTCCACAAAACTCCAAAATGGAGGGTCAGAGAGTGCAAGGGGTGGAGCCTCTTGTGTTAGATGATGCAGGAGGTGGAGCATAGTGCTTGTCGTAAATTTAGCATGTGCTTATTAGATCTGTCATCTCATTTTCTGATACTCCGTGAGAATGTGTTAGAGTGTTACATTACCCAAACAATTAAAAAAAAATAATTTCATTGAAGTTGAGTGAATGAAACTCAGTTATATCTCCCAACCTGATTTTGTGATGACCATTTGACAGTATCTGATGACATTTGTTTATAAAGTCCATAAAATACAAAATGAGAAACAAAGAAACAGGAAATGGTAATTAAAAAAAATAATGAACACCACATTTCAACGAGGGGAACAGCTTTGCTGATTATTTAATTTTTAACGATAACAGAGACTGACTGAAACAGAATAGCATCAAAGTTATTATCTTTTGGTGATATTTTATACAGATATATATAAATAGACTGATATATGTATATAAAGGTGTCAATGAAAGTCGGCCTCATTACAAAATACCTATTACCATCTGAAATCTGATTGCTGTCGAAGACACTGTCCGATGTTGGAAATGTGCCGTGATGTCATTATTCACTCAGAAATATTATCCCATTTTAGAAAAATTAAAAATAATTATATAATAGATTCAGTAAATTAACTGATTGTTTTATTAGAGAACTCTGGCCATTAACTGTTTTTATTTTATTTTATTTTTTTGCTCTAAAAAGAATGAGAAACAAGCATCATGATAAAGAGACAACAAAATGAGAATCGAAATGACCTACAGATATGAGAAACAAATGAGGGGCATGCAGCCCGTGCTTGTGATTTAAATTTTGTTTTGCGATATCACAGATGCTAAGTGCAATGGAAACTGTCTGATTCACACTGCTATCTCGCAGTAACCCATGAGGTCTTGACAGATTTTATTAGTATAGGTATCAGATATCTGAAGGGCCAAATGTTAAAATTGCTAAGGGCTAGATTACCTAAACTTCTAGGGAAAGATGACAAAAAATTTTTCCCCTCATTTGTTGTTGATATAATTGAAAGTCATGTTATCTTTTTTTTGTGCTAAATTTCATTTTCAGTTGTAATTTAATTGTATCTTCTTTTTGTGGTTTACGCATACAGAAGCCTTTGTAGCTTTTACAGCAATTATGAAATATACTTTTTAATTGTTGATAATTTAAAGACAAAGTGATCTGCGATATGTTATGCATGGCATAATTATCTGCAATAAAATATTTGGGACATACCAGTATCAAGACTCAGTAATTAATTCTGACAGGCACTTTTTATCACTGATGGAGAACTCTACAAGCAACCCAGTTGTTTCCAGCTTCTAAAATGATTGAAACATAAAACGGGCAAATGTATAAAAATTGACACAAGAGGCTCCACCCCTTGCACTCTCTGACCCTCCATTTTGGAGTTTTGTGGAGACTCCATCCTCCGCATTTTACACCAAGCCATTGTTAAGTACACGAAAAAGAAATGTTTCCATTAAAATGACTTTGCATAAGGATCTAGGATCTTTTTTAACTGGTATATACATGTATTTCTTATTAATTGTTACGATACAAAATTATACAGTCCAGATTTTTTTCTATGACGTCATATTCAGCTTCAAATAGGTCTGGACCAAAAATTTAAGGCTGCTTGCCAGTTTTACCCCTGATCACGGATAACGAATTCTTTACACAGAACGCTCTCTAGCATCCCTCGGCGCTGTCTGGGGACCTTAATTACACAGCGACACAAATGCTGCATTCAAGGTCTATCCCTTTTCTTTGTGATACAAATCTCTTTCTTGCACTTTCAAAATCAAACGATATTAAAAAGACGGTGAAATATTTCGCCTCTCCGTCGATCTCTTTGACCCGCGGCGAACCGTGGAAAATACGACAGGTGGTTTTACCGTGGGATGACAATGGAGGATTTTTGAATACATAAATGGGGGTCCAATTAAAGAGCTAAATCTCCGTAGGGGGGTCCCGAACAAAGGAGGACACATTCCAACACACGAGGAATACGGGGGTTATTATGTCCGAAATTTTAACGGCAAGGTGCCCGTTTGATTGGGCGAGGTCCGGGGACATTTGACAGGGTAACAAATGTACTCTTGAAGGACAATGGACATTTGATCACCTTAGTGTTGACCACAGTATTAAGGCCGTTTGCTACTGTTCAACTCAAGCATTACAGATCTTGGGTCGTTTTGCTTCCAAAAGTGGCACCAATGCCAGTACTGTACGACACCAACTTTAAAATTTCGGATTGGTTAAGGGGGCCTATATAATCCGTGTTTGTATTATCACAGAAAACCCCCATTTTTATGTCTTTAATTAAGGACTGTCAAATGTTAATACCCTTGAAATTATATAAATTTTTGCAGCGTTTTAGAGTTTTCATATTCCCTGATATTGATTTTATAACAGATGAAACATAAATTTCGTACAATATGGTTGGCAACTGATCAACATACATGTAATATGCACAATTATGACAACACGCAGACACATCTATAGAATGTCTATGTTCACACCTTACATCTGAACTCTGTGTGAAGTCTGTCGCGGATTAAGTACAATAAAGTCTGTGTTTTTGGAGCATGAAATATTTTTAGTATTAAAACATACGAGTTCTCAATAATTCACCCCATAGCACTAACACACTGATTTGTAAAGACGCTTAGATCTCTTCTGATCAAGCCGGTGATTAGGCCGAGCTCTAGTGTCATACGAACATTAACTACATCTGTTTTCACCTTCATTTCTAGAGGAAACATCTGATAAAATTTGATAACAGTTCCTTGCTAATGTTTCACTGCCTTGCTTGTCCTATAGGTCTATTAATGGGTTTAACTTATAATATAGCAGGGTCGTAACAACCCTTAAATTACCCTAGCTCTTTAGGAGAGTGGAAAAGCTAGTATAACCTTAATGTGTATTCATGGATATTCCATGGATATTAGTTAATAAGTGCAGAGAATAATTTAAGCTACCCTATCTAGCAAATCTGAGTACAGCTAGCTTCGATAGGTACATGTGTACTACAGACAAATCTTCCCTGTTTTAATCTCCCAATGCTAAATATGATTACTCCTATATACTCGTGTGATTTAATAAATCATCAATTCTCACAATTATTTTTCTTCCTTTGTTAAGTGCCCACAATTGACAGGCCAGAAATTGCACATTAAATAACACACTCGATCTGAAATAACAATGACTGTGATCTTTTTAATTTGAAGAGGGGTTTTCCGATGGAATTCTTGTTTTACGATCATACGTACACACTATACTCACCACAAGACAAACGATATACCCAGGTATCACTTCCGTCAGGCTGTCAGAGGTAGTGATAGCCTGAATGTTGAAATAAAGTCCAACACTGATGAGTCCTAAAACAATGTCCACAGCTCCTAAGACTAAAAACACCCAGAGTCTCCGCGAGCAGGGACCGGTGCCCGGAGCCTTTACCGGTAGGTCGGTGCATTTTGATGACATCATAAAAACTTGGAGATTATGACGTCACAGTAACTGAAGTGGACATCCTCGTGATAAAGTTTAAGGTGGCAAACCCCTCGTTTGAGGGGAGTTCATTAACGTTTTTTATGTCAGGGGTCAATGCAGATATGTTGAAACAGAAAATATCCATCTGTATAAAACAGTTAAAACATTTTGGATTTGACCACTTCACATTATTGACGCTTCAGTTGCAATCTGGCCATAGGTAAAAAGTCACTGGATGGAAAAGATCTTTCAAAGATGGTATTTATACAAATTACATGGAAATTCACAATCCAAATTGTCACTTGAAATGCAGTTTCAGTTTTCCTCTTTTCTTAGCAAAGTATTGTCATATCCTATGCTAGCATACGATATCAAAGCATCACCAACGTCTATAAAGTTTAATAAAAATAAACTTCCAAAAGTATGTGTTTAGCAAACACTAGCTTCGATACACAACATCCGTCATATTTTTCGACACATCAAACACAGAAAAATATTTTCTGAATTAAAAACTCCTGTTTTAACAAACGTTCCAATACAATAACTCCGATGTGTCAGAAAATCGGGGGAAAATGTTAATAAAACCAAATGGCAGGTAAATACGAATTATCTGGCCATATTGGATGACACAAAACATTTCTTTATAAAAACTTGGCTTTTAAAAATGAAACTGTATCCTCACACACAAACGACGGGTTCTTTGTGTTGCCCGATTACACGTGGATTGCGGTGCTGTAGCGCCCGACTCATGTTTACAAAATTAAAATTCACCGGTTTCAGATTCAGGGGTTCTCCATGGGGGATTTGATGATTGGATGCTTGGGGCCTTAGAGAGGAAATTCAAAGCTCCTACTTATTTTTTTTTTAAATATATAAATATGAAATATTTTAAACGTCAGATATTATTAACATATGTTAAAATTTTCGAAGAGAATTGTAATCTTTAAGGTTCTAAATTTACAGTCATGAGTGCTCTCTCTCTCTCTCTCTCTCTCTCTCTCTACATATTGAATTTGAATTTATTTAGAAATCCCCCCGATTGGAGACCAATTTTTTTTGGGGGGGGGTGGGGGGTGGGATGGGGTAAGGTTGGCCCTTTATTGTCGATTGTCTGTGCTTCTACAACTAGCATATGACAACAGAATTAAAGGAAAGAAAATTTAGATCCCTATATCTGACTTTTTAATGTATGCAAAACTGGTAAAGAGAATGTTACCTGAACTTGAATAATTAGTGATATTGAAAGTCTAGTTAGGGGACAACCACTGGTTCTGAGGGGAGGGGGCTGGCATTTTTTTCGAGTCAGAATATTTCTTTTCATGTCAAGGACAGATTATTCATCTCCGATAATATTAAGGACAATTTAATTATTTCTTTCATCACTGAAAAAGCCTAACAAGCAAAAGAAAAAAAAGAAAACATCCAGGCCCACAACTACTCTAATTTGGGGGAGGGGTCAGGGAGAGAAGGGTCAGGGACATATCATTTATTTTCATTTTCAACTTTCGAGGACAAATACATGTATCTGCTCCCCCCCTTTTAGAATCAAATGGTCGTCCCCTTAAGAAAGGTTAAATTTTAATTTGTCATGCGATATTTAGAACTCAACAGTGAAGAGATATTGACGAAATTCTAAACACGCTCATAAGAAATGAAGTAAAACAAAAGGAAATTTTAATCTTTCTGTAAATTTTAATCTTTTTGTAACATATGCTCCGTAGAATTGTATGTAATTAACTACATGTAGGTACATATATAGTAAGTTACATGTAATGAAAAGTTAATTAACGGCATGTGAGAAAAGCATCATACAGTGGTACATGTACATGTAATTTTTGAATGTACTTACTGATTTCAAATAATCTCCGCAATGAAAAATGATCCTCAAAACGTGGAAAAGACTGTGTGTGTGTATTTAATAGGAAATTCTCCTACCTGGACAAAGATCGAACTTTTATGCATTATTGATAGCTAGGAGAGAGAACATCTGTGTTATACATAACGTATTATTTGAACGCCTGACTAACACTCTTTCTTAAATCAATAGAACTTTATTATTTAAGAAACGTGACCCGTAGTGAAAAAGCTTATAAATCAAAGAAAAACAGAAGTTTATTTTAGAAGAATTTATTTTAAAATACAATAAAGAAACCAATATCAAAAAGTGATAAAAGCAAGACATTTTATAGAAATCCGTTGGTGTAACTTTTTTTTCCGGAAACTTAAAGTCTGTTCAAAGAAACTCTAACAGAATCGTCTCTAGTTTCATTCCGGTTTGAACGAGCGTTTTATGCACGTTTTTCTTTAGGAAAAAAAATCGCCGAAATCATCATGTCACAAGCCCCAAAGCAAATGCAGGTATGTCAACTATTCATTTTTTACATATCTTTTGTTCAATAATTCAAAAAAAGATGAGAAGCTTCATCCAATGCATAGTTAATCGATCATTACCTTCACATTTTGCACATATCCACTCCAAAGATTATTTTAACCTACCTAGCTTTTTAAAGCTAGCTAGTTCTTTATACCTACTCTATTTAACTAGTTTAAATTTCATTTCTAGTGAAAATGGCACCTGGTGAAAACAGCACCTGGAATATGCAAAACGGCACTTGGTTAAAATGACACTTAGTTAAAATGGCACTTGGTTAAAACGGCACTTAGAGGAAAAAGTGTATAATACTGTTATGATATATATTTGACATAAGTTCTTTTTTAATTCAAAATTTAATTTATTGACTTTAGAATTTTTTGTGGCTTCAATTTTGCTTTATCTTCAATCTATTTTTAAAGGTAGTATTTATAAGCTATATGTGGGATTAAGAATAATTATCATGATTATATTTGTAGTGTAGTGTTGATAATATGAAGAAAAAAAAGAAATGGTGTAAATGATTTTTAAAAAAAATTACAGTAAGAGTCACTTTATCTCACATTTATCTGTAGAAATTATTTTAACAATATCAACATTGTATCATCTTCATTATGAAAAAACAAATGTTCTTCTATGTACATGTTTATTATATTGTTAAATGTTGTATGGCTATTTATATTTTATGTACAGTTTGGAGAGGATTATCTGAGTTTTTATTAGCTCTACTGGTCAGAGACCAGAAGAGCTTATGCGATAGTAAGGTGTCCGTCGTCCGTCTGTCTGTCTAGCTGTCTGTCTGTCCGTCTGTCTGTAAACAATTTTTCGAAACGCTACTCCTCCTACAGTTTTGGTCTGATTTTAATATAACTCGGCACAAAAGTAGACTACACAAAGATACATTAAATAGTGCATCGGATTTTGATTTCGATGAACGGTGTTGCCATGGTTACTAAAAATAGAAATTTCTGTGAAATTCCTTTAAAATGCTACTCCTCCTACAGTTATGATCTGATTTCAATATAACTTGGCATACAAGTTGACTACACTAAGATACATAAAATAGTGCATCGGTTTTTGATTTCGATGAACGGTGTTGCCATGGTTACTAAAAATAAAATTATCTGTGAAATTCTTTTAAAACACTACTTCTACTACAATTTTGATCTGATTTCAATATAACTTGGCATACAAGTAGACTACACTAAGATACATAAAATAGTGCATCAGTTTTAGATTTTGATGAACGGTGTTGCCATGGTTACTAAAAATAGAATTTTCTGTGAAATTCCTTTAAAACGCTACTCCTCCTACAACTTTGATTTGATTTCAATATAACTTGGCACACAAGTAGACTACACAAAGATACATAAAATAGTGCATCGTTTTTTTTTGTTTTTTTTTCGATGAACGGTGTTGCCATGGTTACTAAAAATAGAATTTTCTGTGAAATTCCTTTAAAACGCTACTCCTCCGACAGTTTTGGTCTTATTTCAATATAACTTGGCACACAAGTTGACTACACAGAGATATATAAAATAGTGCATGGGTTTTTGTTTTGATGAACAGTATTGCCATTGTTACTAAAAATAGAATTTTCTGTGAAATTCCTTTAAAAGCTACTCCTCCTAGAATTTTGATCTGATTTCAGTATAACTTGGCACACAAGTAGACTACACAAAGATACATAAAATAGTGCATCGTTTTTTCATTTCGATGAACAGTGTTGCCATGGCTACTAAAAATAGAATTTTCTGTGAAATTCCTTTAAAACGCTACTCCTACAATTTTGGTCTGATTTCAATATGACTTGGCACACAAGTAGACTACACTAAGATATATAAATTTTTGCATCGGATTTTGATTTCGATGAATGGTGTTGCCATGGTTACTAAAAATAGAAATGTGAAATTCCTTTAAAAAGCTATGGCTTCTTTTCTCATCCTTTGTTATAAGTACAAACCAGTAGAGCTACAGTCTCAACAGAGACTTCATGTTTATACTTGTGTACCAGAGGCGTAGTCACAAACTTAAAAGTGGGGGGTTCAACTCAAGAAATTCTTTGACAAGCAAAAAAAAAAAAAAAAAAAAAAAAAAAAAAAATTGAAAGTTCCCCAAACTAGAAAATCCTATTTCGTGGGGGGTGGGGGTGGGGGTGGGGGTAGTGGCCAACTTTTTCAAAGGCAAGTTACTTTCAATTCCATTTTTTTCCCACTATTCTTCGATATAACTATACTAGGGTCAAAAAGTGGGGAGAGGGGGGGGGGGGCAACTATCCCTTCAATGAACATTTCCTCTAGTTAAGGTAATGTTAGGGAAAATAGCTGTGATTTTGTTCTTCATTAAAAAGTGGGGGGGGGGGGGGGCACAGACATACTCTTGCCCCCCCAGATCTGAAAGTGGGGGGGCTAGAGCCATAGTAGCAATATGATTGCAAATTGACGATCAACAGATTATTGAAGGGGAGGTGTGAAATGGTCTTTTGTTTCCTATTCCTACGAGTGTATTCTAAGTAAACATACTCTAACTGGCTTCTAATTAGTCAACTGTGACTGGCAACCCCCAAACAGAGTAGTATACATATTTGCAACACTATAAAGTTTTAAATTTCAAAGGATCATATATATTAATATAATTGGGATTTGATCTCTTTTGTAGAAAATAATAGATATATAATTTAAAATAGAAATACATTTAAAAAATCTAACCACTGTACAAAAGTACAATAATTCTAAAATGAATCGGTTTAATTTTTTTCCTTAATTATTTTTTAAACATTTTTATCAATAATAATATACACATTTATTATAGATATGTAATATAAAGATCTATTTTCTGTGTAAACAATATCAAATTCTCAAAATAAAAAAAAGTGCCGTTTTGACTTTTCTAAAGTGCCCTTTTGACTACTCTCAAGTGCCGTTTTGCATATGTCCTAAGTGCCGTTTTCACCAGGTGCCGTTTTGACTTGTACCCATCTTATTCTATGACCTCTTGACCCCATACCTGTATTTATACATTTATAGATATGCATTGCTTTCAGTAGTGTTATATAAAGGGAAACATTTGCAAATGTAAATATAAAGTTTAAAACATGCAGTAAATTATTCCTTAATCTTTCAAATTAAGTACTTTTTTCACCATATACTGATATACATCTGCAGTGTAAAGTGTTTGCTGGAAAATGGGTTGTAAGTGAGCAGTACACATAATATTTGTTAGATTGCACTATTGTCAATTGAAAAAAAAACATTTCCTTCAATCTCAAGATCTCCCAAGATCAAAACTTATCTAAGCCAAAGTCAACAAGAATCAAGTTGAATGACAGAATGTACAAGAACACTTTCTCTTAAGTTATGTTTAAAAAGGCTGAAGATATACCGTATAGCGGGTTATTTTAGTGGGGTGCTAATTTTGGCTTATTTAGGCGTTTTGATGGTAGCCCGCTAAAATTTTAATCGTTAAAATAGTCAGTACTCTTTTTAGTGTTTATCTGCAAGGAGCTGAAACTCTGTGTCCGCTAAAATAATAAACGCCAAAATAATTGGCATACCTTTGAGCAGGCAAAAACGCCAAATTTTACACCCACCAAGAAAACCCGCTATACGGTATTTCATTCAATTTACATGTTTAAGTGAGAATCAATCTTTCCTTTCATTTTGTAGCAATCAGGGGACAAAGACAAAGAGAAGAAGAAGAAAGAGACAATTTTGGATCTCGCGAAGTACCTCGACAAAACTATCCGAGTCAAATTTAGCGGGGGTCGAGAAGGTATGAAACCCCACATATCATATACATGATGTACTGTAAATCACCTATCATTGGCAAGAACTTTATTTTCGCATAATTACGCGAAAAAGTGTGCTTGTGAAAATATCATTCTCGCGCATAATATAAGAATTCTGAATGATTACTTAGAGCAGTCATTTTGAGAAATCAAAATCTTTTTCTTTTTTAACCTTTCTGAATGGAAGGTCATATTAAACATATTTGTTTCCACTTCAGCTGCTGGTGTGTTGAAGGGTTATGACCCCCTGTTAAATCTTGTATTGGATGACACAACAGAATACCTGAGAGGTAACCATCAAATGTTTTCTTTTGTATTAAATGTGTCATGAAATTAGAGAACAAAATATGCACAATTCAGCATGTCTGTTGTATATTTTTGCCCCTTTCCCCTCATTGTTAGCTGATGAAGTCAAAAAGAGGAAAACTCAATACAGACAGAGTTATCTTTCTTTTGACACAACTGAGTCTAGGCTAGGATAAAAAATAATGTAAAAATGCTGTAAACCAATTATTTGTGACAAATCTTATTCACTTATTGTCAAGTTAAATTCTGTCACACCAGTTGAAATATTCTTCAAAATTAAACGCAATAAATGTAAGTCACTTAAGCAGAAATTTAGCGAGGATTTAATTTTGGCATTATAGAGATTAGACATAGTCCTGTAAAATTGAATATTACTAAAATTTTATTTTATATTCAATGGTTGTTATACCTATAGCTCTTGAAATTATTAAATTATTTTGCTCAGAAATTTTAACAATACTTTTAAGTGGTCAAAACTGTTGAAAGAGAAAAGATATGGCTTTCATAAAATACATGTATATTACCTGGGAAAGAATGAATTATGACCCTGTAACCTTGTAGTTTAACATACTTTTCAAAATTGTGATCTTCCCTTATAACTTTTGATATAGTAAAATTTGACTTTTATATTTGATAATGTGCATTACTTGTCACAAAATGTTTCCAGGCATGATATGATTTTTGACCACCTGACTTGACATTCATTTTTGACAAAATTAAAAAAAAATAAGTTTGGGGATTACTTTTGAATAACATTATCATATGATAGGGTGTTAATATTTTTACACAATATGCAGTATATGGAATCCTATCAACAAAGATATCGAAAGGAGGGAAACACAATTCTTTTGTCTTAAAATGTCGAAGTTGATACTGTATAAGTGGAAATTTTAGCTAATTTAGGGATTTCTCCTTAAAAACAGCTATTTTATTTTTAGTGAGAAGTAATTTTAGCAATTTTTAAAATGCTCACTCAAGAAGCCAATACAAATAAAACGCAATTTATTTTTAGCTAAATTCAATTTTAGCGATCTCAACAGCCTTGCTAATAATGCCAAATTAAATCCTTGCTAGAATTTCTACTTATACAGTATCAGAAAGTAGAATGAAAAAGAATCATTTCAAAATAATGGTTAAGGATCCAAAAGAAGGTAAAATAAAATGAGAACAAACTTTCATGGGATACTGTCTGTGGTCCTTGTTTTAACTCAATATGAAAGTTTCTCATGTCTTTCATTTCTTAATGTTGCAAGTCTCTTGATAACAAAGCATGTCTGTTTTTAGATCCTGATGATCCATACAAGCTCACAGATGACACGCGATCTCTAGGATTGGTGGTGTGTAGAGGGACCTCTGTAGTACTCATCTGTCCTTCTGATGGAATGGAGGCCATTGCCAACCCTTTTGTTCAACAGGAAGGATAGAAAGTGAAAGTAGATGTCAAGGACTCAAAAGAAAGTATGGAAAGTGGAAGTAGAAGATGTCAAGGACATTTTATTTTCTGTTTTGTATAAGATTTGAGAAAACGAATGTGGATGTAAGAAGGCAGCAAATGTTGATTATGTATGTTAACATTTCTATCATAATTATTGGCATGATGTTTTAAGGATCTAAATTTTCATTGTTTGGTCTACATTGTACATCTGTAAGTGTATTTAACACAGGTACATGTGTCTGTCATGTTAGTTTCATCCAGGATAACACTTCAAACGTTTATATAAAATAAGTTGGAACATGATGAAGTAAATATTCTTTAGGTATCTTTTACTGATGATTCAAAATATCAAGAAAGCATTTGTTAAGTTACTTAACATACATACAGTGTCAATGTTGTTTGAAAATTATTGTTTAAATGTTGTTTTTAAATCGTTGTATTAAAATTACACAGACATGTAATTTTTTTATGAACAAAAATGCATCATTTCTGATTTAGACTTTGCTCTAGTTTATTGTCATCCATAATGTACACTACTGTTAATGAAGAATGTACAAAGTGTACTGTGAACGTTAAATTTGGTGCAGACTATACTTAACATCTATAGATAGTATGTGTTTAAGCATTTTTCTTGTTTATATTCTCTTGCATAACTAAGTTTTGTATTTAACTTTTTTTATTAACAATAACAAAACATTTTTGAAGTGTTGCAAAAATAACAGTACGTTTTGATATTGCTACTTATTCTTGTAAAATGCATGAATAAATATTAAAAAAAAAAATTGGATTTACGTGCACAGCTCAAACAGATTTCTCTGATTTCAATTGAAAATGGTAAGCAAGATACTAAACCACAATCTCTACCTAGAGTTATCATTCCACTAGTACATGTACCTCTGTCAACGTCTGAAAAGTAGTAGGGAATGTGGAGACACTTGATTTTGTTTTCAGATATTGTTCAAAATGACCCATAGGAAGATGTAACAACTTAACATTTCTGTATAAGTTTCAGGGTTGCAAGTTGTCTGCCTATAAGAAAAAACCTTGTTGATATTTGTCTGCAATGTGTTTTAATTTATTCAACGTTCTCAATATCCTGCCGAAATATAAAACCTTATAAGATATGGCAAATAGGCCATATCTGTCTCTAATTTTCATATAAACACTTTTTAATTTAAGATTTTAAGGAAAGAAATATAAAACTTTACAATTCATAATTGATGATGCAATATGTAAAAGTAAGTTTGCCAAGAATCTTGGCATTTAGGGTTTACAGAGATTAGGGTTTTCAGAGATAGCGATGCAAAATACGCCCTCTGGTGAGAGATGGACAAAACGCAGACACTAGAAAAAAAAAAAACAGAAAAAAGTGGTTGTTACCATAGCTATAAAACTACAATATATGAAAGTTTGTCAACAAGACACATTCTATAGTTTTGAATTGAAAACCAACGAGTTTTTACAAAGTTTTAAATTATCAAGAAACGTAATTGTTTCAGTATTCAAAATATTGATTGATTGATTGTATATTGTTTAACGTCTCTCTCGAGAATTTTTCACTCATATGAAGACGTCACCGATGCCGGTGAAGGGCTTCAAATTTAGACCTATACTCGGCACTCAGGGCCATTGAGCAGTGAGGGTTCTTTATCGTGCCAACGTCAACCATGCATATGACACGGGGCCTTCGTTTTTAAGGTCACACCCGAAAGACCCGTGACTTCAATTTCTTATGTCGAGTGCTTATCGAAGGAACAGTCGCTACCTATTTTTACGTCTGGTTTGACGCGGCGCCGCGAACGAGAATCGATCCCGGGCCTCCCGATCACGAAGCGAATGCTCTACCATTAGGCTACCGTTAACGGTCAAAATATTAAAGATACTAGCTTTCTTTTTTTACTTGGTTACCTGAGTTGCCAAGGCAACTATAGCTGTCTGATTTTGCAAAAAAATCATTTGTTCTTCGTCATAATGGCAGTTTTAATCAAATCAAATATTCCATAAAGATATAAATTTATTTCCAAAACTATAATAGGAATTTGGGATAAAATATCCCAGGATATTCCCTGCTAATCATCACCTACGGTGCCAGGGGCTCATTGGATTGGATAAATTATAAATTACAGATATATCATATCATAAAAACGTATTCATGCATCAATATTTTTTATCTGAAAAATAAAATTCTCTATGCATAGAAAAAAAAAAATGCAAATTCTGTTTATAATCAATAATCGATAAAAATGGATTAATCAAAAATCTGTTTAAATAAAACCAAACATCACTTTCATGGTTTCTGCCTTCCTAGAGCCAAAAGAATTCCTAACAAAATAGTATAGTTAACTTTAGTTATGCCCCCCTTCGAAGAAGGGAGGGCATATTGCTTAATTGCTGCTTTATGTTGGTCTGTCGGTCTGTAGGTCCACTTAGTTTCCGTTCATTTTCTTCACAACCGTTGCACAAACTGAAATGAAATTTTGTATACAGATATATCACATAAATGTCTGTATCAAGTTTTGTTTGAGGTACAATCGGACCATTGTTGACAGGGTTATACCCTTTTGGACTTGGGAAAATTCCAATTTTGGGGGGAGGGGGCATAAGTGTTTTACAAACATCTCTTGTTTAATATAGTTTTAGGAAGCAAAGCGTCAAAATAATCACTATAATATCTTTTATGGCTATAATAGTAAAACGCAGTTTTCAAAGTGATCACTATTGTGTCAAAGTGATAACTGTAATAGTTACATTGTAATCAAAGTTTACATAGTTATCACTAAAGTGACATTATTATCACCATAATAAATAAAAGTTATCATTATATTAAATCAACGTTTTTACCATAATGAAGGGCCCACAACTTGCAATCCAAAGTGCCAAGCACTTGGCGAAGGAACTGTAGCAACCGATATTTCAATCGTCTTTGGTCAGTCGCAGTCGGAGTTCGAGCTCACGACCTTTCAATCACAGAGCAAGCTGACTTAGGTACTGTTGTTGTCTTGGAATGTTTCAAGGGATAACGTCTGAAGTCTGAAAGCCCTTGCACCACCAGTTAAAAAGTCATGGATGATAAAATTTAGGAAAAGTGAGTCAAGCTCTTGGGCTGAAGTAAAATGTTTTTACAAGTATTCAGGGTTTTAGGGTGAATACAAGTTTACCATATGTTGGAATGAAATTTTTGTACTTTTATCACTGACTCCTTGACATCTTCAGACAATATAAAGCATGCTTAATATTTCTATCAGCTAGTTCTTTTAAAAAACAAACAAACAAAAAGTGGGTGTTAAATATTAAATTTTACTATTCAATGTATCATTTAAGAAATGAATGTAATATTTTTTCCTTTGATCGATGTATCAAAGAAAAATTTGGACGGAAAACTTCATCAATGCGCGTAGCGCATTGATGAAAAAGTTTTCCTTCCAAATTTTTCTTTGATACATCGATCAAAGGAAAAAAATATTACAATCATTTCTTATCATTTAATTTTTGATTTTAAATTAATAAAATGAAACTTTCTTTCACTTTTCTATTAAATTTACGCATCAAAAACATTGCGCACGAATTCATCACAACAACGTTAACGTTGCTGCAATTCAAAAGGGCTCAAACGAAGAAACGTTCTCAAATATTATCGTGTCATTGCCAACATTCTCTGAAATAATTTATAGTTCTTTAACAGAAAAAAACTTACCTGTTGTGTTATCCCAATGGGTATATTTTCCACGGTAAGTTATCTAAGTTCGTAAATGTCAGGGTAAGCTACTCAAATATCCTAACATGCAATTCTAACGTTAGGTCACAGGAATTTTGGATTTCATTTGCACATCTTTTCAACTGAATTTCAAACCGAACATATAAATAAGTATCACAACCTGTCAATGCTGTAAAGCCTGAAAGAGTCTGCTTCCGACTGTTTAAGATAAAAAAGAATTCCGTCCTCATTCAGGCAGTGTCGTTTTTCTCGATCATTCGTTTCCCAAGATTGAACAGGTTTTGCCTAACGGGTTTCCCTGCTTTTAGCGTAAAAAAAAACATTTCTTCAGAATTCTGTTGTTCATACCAGATATCTCAGAGCCGAACATTTAACAAAAGTATGTCGATTTGAACGATTTCTTTCCTTCTTTCCCAAAACTGTATTGTTGTTATGCAGACGATTTGATTTGTTTAGCAAAGGGGGATAATCCAAAACGAAACGAAAGTAGAAAATAAGTCAGGAACGTAACGGACAGGTTTCGAAATTCAGGAAAATATTTATTTATTTAATTAAAGGTATTTAATTATTCCTTCAAAAAGTAATCTGGAAGGGGGAATATACATGTAAAGACTGCCAAAGTAGTTCCGGCTGCTTAGTGCAAGCGAACTCTAGATTTTATTGATGCAGTTATCAAAACAATTTTTTATCCAATCAGAATCAAGTATTTTATAGAAATTAAATGATATGTTAATAACTCTAGTCCTGATCGTATAGAAGACATGATTAATGAATATACTGAATACATGCAGTCTTTCACGACAAAGTTGGTCGTCACGGTAGCTCAGTTAGTACAACGTCTGCTCCGTGATCGAAAGGTCCTGAGTTTAAATCACTAGACCGACCTAAGACGATAAAAAAGATACCAACTTTTCCTCCATCAAGCCCTCGGCATTTGGAAATGAAAATTGCAGGTCCTTCGGATGAGACTTTTAAAATTAGGCGTTGGCACGGTAAAAAATAATTCACTGCTCAATGGCCCTGACTAAATTTTAAAGTTCAATATAATAGTAATGTTAAAGTAAATATTAAAGGTCTATATGAGTACAATATTCTCCAATGTGACGTAAAACACAAACTATAAGTATGAGTATATCGTTCCAGTGTCGAATGTCCTTGGAATATAATGACACTGGGACGAACATCGGAACTCTTGCTTCAAATGATGGACCCCATTATAAAACAACAAATTAGTAATGCTAAAATTTCTCGGAGAGATTTGCTTCTGAACGTTTTCATTAGAATCAGGGCATGGAAACTGAGTACAATTTTTATTACATTTCCCATGTTTCCAAAAAGGGTAATAATATCTAAAAGTTGTATGACGGGTACAGATAACTCGATGTCCTATTCAAGAACTGTTTAAAAAGGAATACGAAACGTGTGGGAAATATACAAAATCTAATAAAAGGGAATATATATATAGAAAATATTTTCACCAAAATCTTTACTGTAACTGACATCTGTTGATATAAATCACAAACTACTTAAAAATTTAATTATTGGTACCCTTATTTAAAATACAATGTCGGTTTTAAAGGATCTGCTGTATCCTTTTGAGTCACATTGAAACCGATCAGGATGTCCTGGAAATTTTAGGGCATTTTAATTTGGAATGAAAAATTTGTAATCAACCTTCCCCAAAAGGGCAAAAGGTTAACTTAATAGGATTTTCAAGGGACAATTTACCACGAATTATGGTATATTATCCCGCACTGAGGATCTAGCAATTTTACAACAAAACTATTTTACATCCGAAAAATAATGCTGTTATTATAATAGGCTTAGACAGTAAGGCTAGGTTAATTGTTCGTATAAATTGTATTTTATCTTTCTATATAGTTGTTAACATGAACTTTGAAGTCTTATCTATATGTCATTGGCTCAATCAAATAAAGAATTTCCTGTTCAGACTAGTGCATTCTGATTAACAATGTCCTCAAGAAGCACAGGTAATGATTATTTCTCCGCCAAAATTTACATATATATTTTTTTAATATCAGAAATTTCTAAAGGAAAGCATGAATTTCTTCTTAGCACACGTAATCTTGCATTGAGCCAGAGATGTTCTAAAAAAAAAATATGAATTAAGATAAAGTATAATTTAATGTAAATCAATCACTGAAGATAAATGCAATCAGATATTATAACTTCTAAAACATTTTGTATAAAAGGGTACGTATAATGTAATCAGAACTCACTGCAGAAAGGTTATGATGTCAACTTTAAGTAGTAAATGTAAATGACCTTTCTTCTTGTTTTTCCACACTGACAATCCTTGGAAAACTTATCTTTATACTCTGCCGTTGAATGTACAGCTCTCAGTTTACTTTTAAGATCACATTATTCCATTGTGTTATCATCAGATATATTTAACTTACATTTAAAAGCGAAAACCCTCAAAATTCAATACATGTTACATGTTAATATATGTACATAACCAGAAATTATCCATTACAACCTTTTAAAATTTTTTGTAGAATTGTTTATAATCCTAACCTTAGTGTCTGGCTCAGGTAAGTTTTAAATGATATTTAATATATATATATAATATAATATACAATATATATATAATATATATATTTGATAAATAACTGCATTTTCCTATCAAATGACCTTTTTAGTTATTGTTTGCTTCATAAAAATTATCATTTGAGAATCTGAAAATTTTCAGTATTTTTTTCTGTGATTAATAAGACCCATTTGGTATTTTGTCACAAATAAAAAAAGGAATTGGTTGTCCCTATCAAATGTATGAAATAAGGTTTGCAGTCGTTATTTATAAATTTTCACACTTGTCAGATGCGGTGGGAAAACTATACGCATGAAAATCATATATAATCAGCGTTTTATAAAAAAGTTTTGAACTGCTAGTTTTACTAAATAACAGAATCTTTCATACAAGAGTACTGTTAGATATCTTCACCTATTTTTGAACATGGAACATGGAAAATACTTGCATGTAAAAGGAATTTTAATATAGAAAATTAAAGTTGATATAAACCCAATTTAAAATGTTTTTGATTCCAGATTGGGTCTCACAGTTCGGTGATATAGTATGTATGAATGTAATACATGTATGATTCATATAAATATCAAACCGAGCTTTGTCTTTTTCAGCTGCTCTGTATTGTCTGTCCTGTACGGATTCTGTCTCTCCTAGACATTGTCACACAGTCAGAAAATGTAGCGACGGAGAGGTATGTTGTTTCTCAAAAAGGTACTATAGTACAAATAAATGGCAGTAATGTCATTTCTGCCTCCAACTAGGATTCCTGTTTGCCTTTGAATGCATAGTGATTTTAATGCAATTGTAGATACTTTGGGTAAAAATAGTTTTTACTAAAGCCTGTCTTCAACAGAACGATAGGAATAAAATTAAATTCTATAATATGCAAATTTAGAAAAATAATAAATAGAAAAAAGACATTTAAGAAGTGTTTTAAAATATTCTCTTTTATAATATCTTAGTCCGAGATAAAATTATATAAGTTAGGAAATGTACTTTATTTCTACATAAATGTACCATTACTGGCTTGATACCTATATGCATTACATCTTCTGTAGTTATGCAAATTATCATGCAAGCCACTCGATTGACCACATAATGAAACCAAAATTTCATTTGTAAGTGTCTTTGAGAGAATAGCTAGCAATGGTCTAAAACAATCTTTACATGAAATATATGGAGAAAACGAACAGTATTCAATATCAAAAGTCCATAAAACAATACAAAGCAGGGGCAGGGGAAACAAACCTCCAAAACATCAGAGGTGAGATCAGTTTTCATGTTGGAGTGAGCATCCCCTGCAGACAGGTCATTTCCGCCGCTTATTCCTTGTCAATATCGGGAAATAACAGGAAACGTGTCGTCAATTCAGTGTATATGTAAAATGGACTAACAATTAGTATGAAAAACGTCAGTCAGCATTTGACTCAATTATA